GTGGGATGCTGGGAAGTGAACCCGGGTCCGCTGCGTGCAAGGCAAAGGTCCTACCCATTGTGCTATCTCTCCAGCCCCCTGTGTAGGGTTTTTTATACCTTTAAACCTCACCAGTGGTTCTTTATTTTCCTTTTTTATAATTTTATTTATTGAATCACCATGATAGCAGTTACAAAGCTTTTGGGTTTAAGTTTTGGTCATACAATGAAACACTCGTACCTTCACCAGTGCCCATTTTTCACCACCAAAACCCCTAGTATACCCCCACCCCACACCCTCCCCTTACCTGTGGAGGAGATGATTTCCACATTACTCTATCTCTACTTTGATTTCATTCAATATTTTGACACTGGATCCACTATTCTTATTTGGGATTTTACCCCAAAATTCAGATCTCCTGAAAAGGCATCAGTAGACAATTTGTTTTCTATTCCTGGTTATGAATAACATATGGTGTCGTGTGGCTGCAGTAGTGGCTGCGTGATTTTGAAATTCCAAAATTTTAACAATTAAATCTGGAGGGATTTCTTGCCAAAACCTGCTGGGTTCCGAGATTTCTTCCTGAGTCTCGGGGATCATGGCCGTTAAGCAGCTTGATTGGAGCCAGAAAGGCCGTTAGTGGGCGGCGACTAGGGGTCTTGTTGGGAAGGGGAAGAAAGGGCTGGTCCCACCCCCATCCCGTGAGGCCCCACGTGTCTCATCACTGAGGGCCCAAACTTGACTGTCCAGTGGCCTCTGGAGGTTGGCGGCCACCGAGCCGCCAAGGGGGAGCAGGTGGAGGGACAGCACCCTTTCTTCCCTGGAATGGCCGAGCGACAGTAACCTACTGCAGGTTCTGGATGCATTTCTGCCAAAAGCCACTGGATTCCGAGATTTGTGTCTGAGTCTATGGGATCATGGCCGTTAAACAACTTGATCAGAAGCCAGAGAGGCCGTTTGTGGGTGACAACTTGGGGTCTTGTTGGGGAGGAAAGGGCCAGCTCCACCCCCATCCCATGAGGCCCTACGTGTCTCGTCACTGTGGGCCTAAATCTGACTGTCCAGTGGCCTCTGGAGGATGGCGGCCAGCGGGCTGCCAGGGGGAACAGGCCAAGGCACAAAATCTATTCCCACCTGGGGTGGCCCAGCGCCTCTAACTTACTGCAGGGACTGGACACATTTCTGCCAAAAGCCGTTGGGTTTCGAGATTTGTTTCTGATTCTCTGGGATCATGGCCGATAAGCAGTTCAATCAGGAACCAGAGCGGCCATGTCTCCAATTATATAGCTGAACTGGAGGTGGTTTGTGGGTGTATCTCCCACATATCTTTTACCTGTTTACTTTCTTGGTCAACTCTGCCTCAAGTTTTTGGGGTCTGGCCAAACGCACGGCAGCAATTTGGGGGTACCTGGAAGTCTGAAGGCGCCATCAGGCTGCTGATGCACTCGCCTCACAGGTACAGACTGACCTGCTGGTGGCACCATACCCCCAACCCAGTGCTTCTTAGGGTTTACTCCTGCCTCTGCACTTAGAGATTGCTCCTGCCAGGGCACAGATGACTGGATGGGATTTCTGCCATTGAACCCAGATCAGCCACATGCAAGTACCCTACTCACTGCACTATCTCTTTAGCCCAAGATAAACGCTTTTAAGAAAATGGTTTACAGGTCCAGAGCAATAGTGCAGCTGGTAGGGCATTTGCTTTGGCCAATCTGGCTTCAATCCCTGACATTCCATATGTCTGACCAAGCACTGTCAGGAGTGATTCCTGAGTGCAGAGCCATGAATAAGCCCTAAGACATCACCAGGGGTGGCACAAACATAAAGAAACAAAAAGAAATTGGTGTATCAGAATTCCATGGTAGAAACTGTTTGACTTATTTGACTCTATAATTCTTGATGGTTAGCCAAAAATCTTTTATAAATGAACCTGAGCATAATCAGTTATCACTGGCAAAAAGAAATAATTTTATTAAAGTAGATATAGGACACTTGTTTGCTCAAATTTTAATACTGCTTTACATAGTTTGTGAAACAATTTCAATAATGGTTATTACTAAAAATTTCAATTGATACAGATCTTTCACTTGTCAGACAGTTGATAATCTCCAGAGGAAAATACATCAAAAGCATATATACAATGATAGAAGTTCTTATTATACATGTAGCCTGGATGGTACATTATTTATCACTTTTTACAGAACTAGAAAACATTCAAGTGAAAAAAAATAGATTCAAACTGGATGATAAACTTCTGATGGTTGAGGTCCTTCATTTAATTTTTTTGTGATAAGAAAATCCAAAAGAATTAATGTTGAATTTCTCATCATACATCATCTAAACGCACAGTCAAAAAAAGTAAAGCTTATAAAAACAGTAAATTGGTCATTTTAGGTGTTTCACAAGTAGACTGTTATGTCATCCATCAACTGCTGGAGATTTCTGCACAGTGCAGAGAATGGGGTGGCCGGGCCGAAACTGTTGTTGTCGTAATTGTTCAATTGTTGAGGTCGTCCCCCTTCCTGGAGAGCAGCCTCGGACATTATCTCCACTTTATTGTTGAGGTCCCGATTCTTTCTTTGGAGGTCCACAATCACGGAATTCAGGAAATCAATCTGTGTTAAAGGAGAGCGTGAGACGGTGAGCCATCTGCGGGAGCCATCAGAGCCCGCCACAGAGGAGGCTGGGCCCCGCTTCCAGTCCCCGCCCCAGGGTTTGAGGCAGCCAGAGCTCCCCTTTCCCTTCCTGAGCGCAAGCTCCCGGGTGCCCCAGGGAAGACCCCAGGAGATGCCGGGCCCCCTCGGTTCCTCTCAGAGCAGGGAGTCAAGAGGGCCTTCCCTCTCCTACAAAGACAGACTCACTTCTTTAAAATCCATGGGGGGAAAAATCCCACTTTACAAATGTAAGCATGACTATAGGCACAAACATTCATGTTTCACTTAAAAACTGGCAGGTTTGTGTCTGAGTGATAGCACAGCGGGAAAGGTGCTTGCCTCACACGCAGCCAACCCAGGTTTGATCCCTGCCATCCCACAGGGGCCACTGGAGAGCAGCCAGGAGTGATTCCTGAGTGCAGAGCCAGGAGGAAGCCCGGAGTATCGCCAGGTGTGGCCCCCGAAGAAAGTAGAATGAAAACCAGAAAAACAGACTGATTCTTTTTCTCCCTCAGGGCAAGTTCTGATGAGGAGTCTCTGAGAGTGCCCAGGCCCTCCCACACTGGAGCCAAGAAACACAGATCTCTCTTCCTCCAGCTGAAAAAAAAAACAAAAAAAACATGGAAATGTTCAGTTCCCAACAAGCCCATGCAGGGTCCACGTCCACAGCCCACATGTAAAGTTCACTTCAGCCCACATGTGCCGTCCAGGGCCACCGGCTGTTAAGTACAGAAGGGCAGGAAGTGAGGGTGTGCGGGAACTCCATAGGGCACGGGGACCCAGATGGTCCCCTTCCTCAGAGAGGATTCAAACTATAAAGCGCTGCAGGCCCGGGTGTGATGGAAGAGGGTTGGGGAAGGAGAGCCATCAAGGAGGCCCCAAGGCTGACTCCTGCCACAGGCCAGACCTGAGCCTGCTGATGGTGGGTGCGGGCACTGGGGTCTGCAGCCAAGTGTGCACACTCCAGAGGACCCCACCCAGCTGTCTCCCTCAACAGGAGCAAGAAGCATGAAGGCGGCCCAGAGGACCAGACTCCCCATTCTCTGTGCCCAGAGCATGCGCAACGTGGCTGGGACAGTCACATGTTGCTGGACGTTTCCGTTTGCGACCGGACCTTCCTGATGGGAAGGAGGCCCTCCAAAGTGGTGTTCGACTCTGGCAAAGTGAAGATTTGCCAATTTTATGGGAGCCCGAAGCCCAGGTTCTGGGAGAGCAGCAGGAGTAAGGGCAGTGGAGGGGTCTGGATTCTCGGCTCTGGCAAGGACGTGACCCCTTGACTGAAGGGATGTGTCCTTGTCCATGGGGCCTTTCACTCCTTAAGCATCACCTCTTGTGCTGGGAGCGTGTGGGGGTGGGGTTCTGGCAGCAGGTGCCCGGGCCCTGGTTCTCACGGGTGCCAGGTGAGCACAGTCCCTTCTTCCTCAGCTTCCTTCTTTTTGGCTTCTGTTATTTTAATTCATCAATTAATTTGGGAGGGGGGATTTTGGTGTCACAACCGGGCGTTGCTCAGGAGTGACTCCTGGCTCTGCACTCCGGAATTTCTCCTGGCTGTGCTTCGGGGACCATATGGGATGCCGGGGATGGAACCTGGGTTGGCCATGTGCAAGGCAAACACCCTACCTGCTGTGCTATAGTTCCGGCCCCATTCTCGGATATCTTAAATGGTAGATATTCCCCGACTCTTTTGAAGCATACACGCATATATACATATGTACATGTCTGTGTATGTATACACGCTTATCTATAACCTTTGTGGGTAGTCAGTTTGGTTTGTTTGGTGGGGTGGGGACTAAGCCCTGGCTCTGTTCTCAGGGATCACTCCTGGCGAGGGAGGAGCAGTCCAGGCCATCAGCAGTCACTCGAGCCCAGGAAAGTGGGGCTGTGTGGTCAGAGGGCAGTGGCTGGCCTTCTCACGGTCATCAAAGAGCCTTGAGACGCTGTGTATGTCAACACATGTGGCTTCTCTTCCTGTCCCGGCCCAGGCTCTGGGCGAGCTAACTGGGGCATCCAGTCCCTGCCGGGCTCATTGCTCCTCCGAGCAGTCTGGGAGTGGTCAGCTGTTCAGTGATCTCGCCAGGCCGCCCCATGTCCCCCGGATCCTGTGTGGTCACTCCGCGCAGCACCTCCCCAGGGGTCATACAGGGGTCATGCAGGGGTACACTTCCCCTCCTGTCCCATGCGAGAACCAGGGACCAATTATTCCTGGCGGTGCTCAGGGGACCATATGGGATGCCGGGGATTGAACCTGGGTCTGGCGTGTGTAAGTCAAACGCCCTCCCCGCTGTGCTATCACTCTGGCCCATGATATGCTTTCTCTCAAGGCTGAGGCCGGGCCTACACGCCCTGGTCACCACCATCACCCACCTCATTCTGCAAGTTTGCATTGGTGTTCCTGGTGTCCTCCAGGGAGGCCAGGGTCTCTGTCTTCTCTTGGGACAGTTGTTCCATAAAATGCCTGGCATCTTCCGCTGTCTGCACAGCCTGGAGAGAGAGAAACCTCATTGAGCCAGGCTGGGGGGCCAGGGAGGGGTTGGCCGCAGTGGCAGAGCACAGCGCGAAACGCCACACAAACCTGCCACAGTGGTTCCGGCCCCCGCTGGGCGCCGCTCACCCCGCGGGGACTCACGTCTAAACCGCTCAGCGGCAAGACTGATGCCCGGAAACAGCCTAGTGCTCCCAAGAGCCTCCATTCCTCACACAGAATAAAAATGACATGAGCGGACAGCTAAGCAGGCCTGGTTGGAAAGCGTTGGGGGGAGGGGGGAAAGGAAGGAGAGGAGATGTGAGCCGTGAGCACAGGTGTGGGAGTGGGAGAAAGGCAAACCCTGAGTCAGCTGGGAAGAGAGAACACCTGCCCGGCACCAGGCACCCTCGAGTCCAGGCTGCCCTGCACCGGGCACACTGCTGGTGGCACAGGGCACCCCCGAGTCCCAAGTGAGCAGACTCAGGGCAACCGCTCAAAGTCCCCCCGGAAGACACCGCTTTACTTTACAACTTAGTGCCTCTCTCATGACTTCCCTTACGTCTTGAAGGGCCACAGTGCAATCTTCCGTGAGAACTCCCCCCGGAAATGAACATACTGTCCTTTTTGGTTTTATTCACAGCTTATGCCTTGTCCTAGAGGTCAGCAGGCACGTGGTGACGAGCTGTCCCTGCGCCCGCAGCAAACAGCCCGTGACACACGGGTTCCGTGGGGATCCACCGCTCCTTGTGCCGACGAAGAGCAATCCTCTTAACCGCTAAAAGGGGGTGCCCTGGGCCAACGGGGGTGGGGCCTGCTCCACTTTACCGTGAAAGACTGCAGCATCTCGAGCTCTCTGATTTTAACGGCGAGCCTGATCTTGTCCTTCCTCAGCACGCGGTTCCCCTTCTGGGCCTCCAGGAGGTTGGCAGAGACGTGGCTGCTGGTCTGGGCCAGCCGACTGACCTTCTGGAGGAGGAAGTAACTGCCGGCCAGCTGCTCCTTCTCTTGCAGGAGCTCGGCCCTCTCTTGCTGCAGCTCCCTCTTCTCGGCCAGCAGGCTCTCGTTCTCTTGCCCGGGCTGGGCCTGCTCGGCCAGGGCCGCCTCGTGCTTGCGCTGCAGGTCGGCCAGGATCTCGTCGAGGCAGCTGTGCAGGCCCTGCAGCTCCAGCTTGGATTTGGACAGGGCCACGAAGTCGCCCTTGAGGGCCTCGATATCGGTGGCCAGCCGGGCGGCATCGGCGCTCAGCATCTCCTTCTCCCGCAGGATCTCGGCCACCTTCTGGTCTGACCGCGCCTTCTCCTCCACCAGGTCCAGGCGCTGGGCCTGCAGTCCCTGTGTGTGCGTCCGCAGCTCCTCCGCCTCCTGCTCCAGCAGCCCCAGGCGGCCTCGCAGCTGGCTGGTCTCGTGGGCGGCCGCCTGGGTCTTCTGGGCGCGGGCCTCCCGCTCCTGCACCAGGGCCTGCTGTGCCGCGAGTCCGTCCTCCACCAGCCGCCAGCACTCCTCCTACCACTCGGCGTTGAGCGCCTCCTTGGCCTGTAGCACGCTGGCGTGTGTCTTCTCCAGGCTGCAGGCCTCGTCCTGGGCCTCCTGCAGCGCCACCTCGAGGGCGCCCTGGCTGGCCGCCAGCCCCTGGTTCTCCTGGCGCTGCCCCTGGAGCTCCCGCTGCAGCACGTCTAGCTCGCCGAGCAGCTTCCTCTTCTCTTGGACAGCCACCCGGGCGCTTCGCCGCCGCCTCCTCGTGCTTCTGCTGGAGCTCGCCCAGGGCCTGCAGGGACGCCTCCCGCTCGGCCAGCAGCTCGGTCTGCTGCGCCTCCAGCAGTGCCTGGTCTTTCAGCAACCAGTCCAGCTGCTGCTGGAGCTTCGTGGCCTTCTGACCCAGCAGCTCCTTCTCGGAGCCCAGGCTGTACAGCGGCTCGCGCAGGGCCGACTCCACGCGCAACGCCTCCTCGAAGCAGCGGCCGAGCTTCTGGGCCAGGAGGTCCTTCTCGCCGAGGTGCTCCTTCTTCTCGGCCGCCAGCTGCCGCTCAGCCAGGCTCAGCGTCTCCTTCTCATGCAGAAGTTGCACGCACTACGAGTCGGAGTTCTCCCTGCTGGTCTTGATCTGCTCCAGCAGCTGTGCCAGGTGGGCGTTGGCCGCCTGCGTCTGCAGTGCCTTCAGCTTGGCCTTGTGCACGGCCTTGTGGCCTCATCCAGCTGCGTGCGCAGGCAGCTGGCCTTGGCGCCCAGCAGCTCCTTCACCTGTAGCGCCGCCTCCAGGCTGGCGCCCAGCTTCTCGTGCTCCTGGCTCAGCAGGTCTTTCTCCAGCTATAGCTCCTTGTTGCTCTGGGCCAGGCCGTCACGCTCCAGCTTCAGAGCCACACACAGGCTGTCGAGGCCCGACTGCTTCTCCACGGCCGACTTCTTCTCGGCCGTGAGCTCCTCGATCTCTTGCACCAGCGACTTCTGATCCCGAGCCAGCTCCTCGTAGGAGCACTGCAGCTTCTGGATGATGTTGTCCTTGTCCTTGGCCAGGGATAGGTTCTCCAGAACCAGCTTCTTCGCATGCTCCTCCAGCTGGCCCCTCTCCTCCAGGCCCTTCTTACACTCGGCCACCAGGCCGCTCTTGCTCATCTGCAGCTCCTCCACCAGGGCCTGCAGTCCCACCTTGGCGACCTGCAGGGCGTCGTTCTCCGCGCGCACCCTCTGGAGCTCCTCCTGCACCGCCCTGCCCTCTTCCAGCACTTTCTCTTTCTCCGCCTCGAGGGCTTCTCGGCCGAGCCGCTCCTCCTGCCAGAGCTTCTCTGCGGCCCGCCTGGCCTCGATGACCTTCTCTTTATCGAAAAGAATCGCTTGGTTCAACAGCCAGAGCTTCCTCTGCTCTTCCCGCAGCGAAGAGTTTTTGGCCTCCGCTTCCTTCAACTTCAATAGCAACGACCCTCTCTCTGACTTCAGAGAGAGCTTCTCCTTCGCCAGCAATTGATTCTCTGACCTCAGGGCCCTGCGATCCTCCGACATCAGCTCAATTTCCTCTTTGTCTTAGGTTAATAAGTAAGTTCATGACTACAGAAACAAAAAGTGGGGAAGAATGGAAACAAGAATGAGATCAAGCAGGCACAAGCAAGTCAAGCACTTCATGTGGCCTAAATACCAGAAAAGAAAATCTCAGAGTAGTCTTACCTGTGCACGCGTGCGCACACACACACACACACACACACACACACACACACACACACACAGGCAGGATGGAGAGGCTCAAATACAGTTAGCTTCACAGGGTCAACATACCGACCTGCCTATTTTGGGGATGGGGGCCCCACACCTGGTGGTGTTCGGGTCTCGCTCAGGGTTCTGTGCTCAGGGATCACTGCTGGCAAGGCCGGAGGACCATACGGGATGCTGGGGATCAACCCGGGTTGGCCGAGTACAAGACAGCACTACCCATTCTACTATCAGCCGATTTTATTTTTGAAAATCCGTCTGAAATTTTGTCTGACAGCTCCCTGGAAGGTTTACGTACAGTTGGATCAGAGGGGTGCCGAACCCAGGAGGCAAGCTCTGCTGGGGGATCCCAGTATGGCCCCCAGATACCGGCACTCTCTGCGGGAAACTCCGACGCCGTGCCCAGCTGGGGCAGGCTGGCCGCTCGGCTAAGCATTAAAAGTGCAAGAGTCAAAGCTGAATGGTGGGGCTGGAGCGATAGCATAGCGGGGAGGGCATTTGCCTCGCATGTGGCAGACCCAGGTTGGATTCCCAGCATCCCACTGGGTCCCCCGAGCACCGCCAGGAGTAATTCCTGAGTGCAGAGCCAGGAGGAAGCCCTGAGCATCTCCGGGTATAACACCCCCCCCCCCACACTAAATAATAAAACCGAATAGTTCTAAACCTGCCCGCAAAAGGTTTGTCTTGAAACACTCGTTCTTTATCCGGCAGCTATGCAGAGGGAAGAAGACAAGGGCTGGAAGCGGCAGAGGGGGAGCCTGCCGTGAGTGGCCGACCTGGGTTCCACCCCAGCACCCCTTTATGACCCGGCAGCTGTGCCAGGAGTGACCCCTGAGCACCCCCGGGAGGGGCCCTAAGACAAAACAGAGAAACTTCTCTCCGTGTGACACGGGTCAGCTGTCCTTCCTCGGATGGGGACTATTTCCGCTGCCTGGGACAGGCCGTGCCAAAAGCAACCCACCACCTTTTCTTCACAAATCACACAAAAAAGTGGGTGACGCTGCGGTCATCCGATTGAGCAGCTGACTTGAGGGTCCCTGAAGGAGCCTCAGAGATCTCGGAGAGGGCCTCAGACAGAATTCCGGGAGGGTGACTCGCGGCTGCAGGCGACACCACAGAACCTTCCGGAAAAGCAGCCCGACACACCCACCTCTCCTGCAGGCGTAGTTCATCATTCATTCTCGTCAGCTGTGCCAAGTTTTCCCCGGACATTTTCATGATGTCCACGATGTCGTTTTCCAACTTGGCCTTTGCCTTCGTCAACTGCTCTTCTCGTACATCTCTCTCTCTGTGAATTTGGCCTCCATATCTGAGGGGAGGGGAGGAGAGGAGTGGGGGAGGGAGGGAGGGAGGGAGGGACGGAAGGAGGGAGGGAGGGAGTGAGAGGGACAGAGGGAGAGAGAAAGTCAGGGAGAGATGCGGGGGGGGGGGAGAACAGCTTTGGGGTGTCGTAGGCAACGAAGCGTCCCCTGCGCTTCTGTCCCAGGCCTCCCTCCGAGGACGTTTCACTCTCTGGCCCCTGCAAACTGCTCGAACCGAGCAGCAGCCAGTGAAACCAAGGACAACTCACAAGACGGGGAAGAAACGCAGGCAGCGAGCAACGGATGGGGCCAGGACGGGGGTCCGACCGTACAAGGCGCCTCATAGATGGCCCTCAGGGGGGACCTTGGGCAGCATTTGACAGTCGTCCCAGGGCCGAGGTGGCCGGAGTGTCACAGGGCCCCAGGAACTGATGGGGGGGCGGGCGCGAGGGGCACTGGGACCTGCTGTGGGGGCTCCCTGAGGGAGGCCGGGAGGCTGAGGAGGGGGCGCGGGAGCGTCAGCAGGGAGGCGCCTCACGCCCGGGGTGCCCCTGCACGACACCCAGAGATCATCTCTTACCTGTTCAATTTCCTCGCAACTTCTCCAGTTCAGAAGACAGCGCCTTAAACTGTTCTTCTTGTTGATGTAACTTATCAACAGATTCTAGTTAGGATAAAGTTAGAAGTTTAATATATTTCACGCACCATCGGGATTATTTGAGAGTCTGTCTGGCAGGCTCCATCAAATCTCACACTGGCGTCTGAGGTCACCGGGGCGATAAAGCGTCTCTACGGGAGAAGCCCCCGGCCGAGGGCAACACCAGGAGGTTTTGGCATGGAGACAGCGGGTCTGGCGCCAGGAGGAACTCGGGGTCTTGGCTGGGGGCATCCCAAAATCTTCCCACCCAGCCAGCTCCCTGCCAGGTCACACAGCACTTTCCCAAGCACACCTGCATGTCACCACAAACAGTGATGTAGGGACTATGATGCCACCAGCAGGTCAACCTGTACCTGCGGGGAGATTGCATCAGCAGCCTGATGGAGCCCGCAGACTTCCAGATACCCCAAAATTGCTCCTGTGCCTTTGGTCACGCCCCAACAACTTGGGGTCAAGTTTACCAAGAAATTAAACGGACAAAAGTTCAGTATGTGGGAAACACACCCACAAACCACTAAATAAGCTATATAAGCTTTATAAGCTCATCTGTTGGCCTTATTTCAGAGACCCATACATCTCAAAAGAGATCAAAAGATGCAGTTAGGCTCAGTGGCCCGGAGGTAAATGGGAACCCGTGACTGAGAGCTCCAGGCTTGCTCAGATCAGGACTGGGCCTCCTCCCGCCACATTCCCAGTTTTCCAGTAGCTTGGCAGTCACACCCACAAACTGCCCCCCAGCACCACGTAATCTCGTCAATGGCCAAGACCCAGAGACTATGCAGTACAGCTCCCGGAAGAGAATGACACAGATATTCCTGGTCATTATATTCTAGCCATAAGAAGCAATACGAAACAAATCATCTAGCATTGCCTTTTCAGCAGGTTTGAGTGCTGGTGGGACTGGTGTCAAAATATCGGATGTAACCAAAGTAGAGAGAGAGTATGGGGGAAATTGTGTGCCTGCCACACAGGCAGGGGAAGGGTTGGCAGAGGCGTGGGGCTGGTGGAATTCTGGGGATTTTGGTGGTGGAAAATGTGCACTGGTGATGGGACGGGTGTTTGATGATTGTGTGACCGAAACTCAAACATGAAAGCTTTGTAACTTATCTCACATGAATCAAAAAAAGGAGGGAAATATAATAATAATAAAATAATAAAATAAAATTAACATTCAGAACAGAATTTTAAAAAAATAAGTAATGTGGAGTTCATGCCCAATTAAATCAGCTTCATCCATGGCTGAATAATTAGTAGTACTCCTACATTGGGCTGGAGCGATAGCACAGTGGTAGGGCGTTTGCCTTGCATGGAGCCAACATGGCGGATCCGAGTTCGATTCCTGCGCCCCTCTTGGAGAGCCCGGCAAGCTACCGAGAGTATCTCGCCTGCACGGCAGAGCCTGGCAAGCTCCCCGTGATGTGTTCAATATGCCAAACACAGTAACTCCTACATTATTAACAAAAAAAAAATTAAAAAAAAAAACAATGTGTATGTGTGTGATGTGTGTGTGTGTGGGGGGGGGGGGCTTTGTGCGCGTACATGCTACGCCCAGGGTACCTCCTGGCTCTACACTCAGGGATCAGCCTGCTGGTATCAGGGATGGATACCAGCTTGGCAGTGGGCAAGGCAAGCGCCTGGCCTGCTCGGGTCTCTGGGAATGAACTTTACGTCAAAGAGGAAAGAGCCGGAGGAAGTCAGCTGCGGGAAATGAGTGGGCAGAGCCCTGAGTGTGGGACCCCAGAGCTCCGGCCCTGGCACAGTCACCCGGTGGCCCGCACCCACCTTGCCTGTTTTTCTGAACAGAGGCTGACTCTTCTGAAGCCTCTGTGAACTTTTCTTTCTAGAGAAACAGAATCAGATATTCAGACCAGGAGGGTGCAAAGTAGCTTCCAATCAACGACATGGGAGACACTCCATTTTGTGATGCTGTTCATGAAAATGAACTTGCACTCCAAACGTAGATATTGGGGGCTGAAGGGCTGGCACAGGGTCCAGGTGCCCGAGTACAGCCAGCCGGTTAGACCCTGAGCAGGAGTACCACCGAGTTAGCGGGGAGCCCCAATGAACACGGTGAACATCTGGGGGCTGGGAGAGAGCACTGGGTAAGGCCACTTGGCCCTGCTTGAATCGTGGCACTAACAGGAATATCCCGAGCACAAAGCCAGGAGTCGCCTCCAAGGACTGACAGGCATGCCACTAGTCCCCCCCCCACCAAAAAAAAAATATATATATATATCCCCGGGCCAGAGCGATAGCCCAGCGGGGAGGGTGTTTGTCTTGCACAAGGATGACCCGCCTTTGATCCCCAGCATCCCATAGGGGATGCACCGTCAGTAGTAATTCCTGAGTGCAGAGCCAGGAGTGACCCCTGAACATCCCCAACTGTGACAAAAAAAGACCAAAAACAACAAGAACAACAAGACCAAAAAAACCCAGAAAACAAAAATAATCCACCCCAAACTCAGCTACCAATGCCCATTGTGTATCTGCCTGGCAAACATGAGTGAGTTGTGCAAGTATGTATGTACTTGCTTGCATGTCCAAGGACATGTATGAGTCTGCACATGACAGAAGCCCATGTGTGTATACTGGGGTGTGTGCATGGCTGTGGACACACGTGTGTACACATGTTCTCGACCACACACAGATAGCATGTGATGCCGCTTGTGCTTGGCCCATGCTGCCCCAGCAAGGACGCTTCCCTTGGAATCCTCCCGCAGGTTCTGAAAGGCTCCTAAGTGCTCAGTCCCGGGTCCTGACAGGATCCAGTCAGCACTGTCTCAGCAGAAAGGCCCGGCTCACCCAGGCCCAGAGACAGAGTGACAGGACAGCGGGAAGGGCATTTGCCTTGCACGTGGCTGACCCAGGTTCAATCTCCAGATCCCATTGGGTCCCCGAAACTCCACCAGGAGTAATTCCTGTGTGCAGAGCTGGGAGTAACCTCTGAGTATCACCAGGTGTGACCCAAAAAGCCAAAAAAAAAAATACCAAGAAAACAAAAACAACGAGATACTTTAGGTGTTTTGCTTTGTATGTATTCAACCCAGGTTCAATCCCCAGCATTCCACGTGGTCCCCTGAGGGCCACCAGGAATGATCCCTGAGTACAGAGCCAGGAGAAAGTCTCAGCACAGCTGAATACAAGAAAACCCAAGACACAAACCAAAAAAACAAATACAAACAAAAAAATCCTAAAAAGAAAACAAGAAAACACACTTTGATCCACCCCAGGAAGGTGTCTGGAAGGTTCCAGAAAAGCGGCCTTCCCAGCGCATGTCTCTCACCTCCCTCCCCTTGCTGTGAGCCCCCAGTGCTCCCGGCTGTCAGGGGAGACAGAGCTGAGGGGGCAGGGGGCGCTTCTGAGGGGAGCAAGGAGCCCGACACTCCGGGAGCATCGCTGGCCAGTCACTGATCAGGCAGAGGCGGAGGGCATAGCGGGGACAGATCAGCCCACCTACCTTTGCTGCCCCAACGGAGGCTTGCGCAGCCCCTGGGGCTTCCAGCTGACACGCTCGTGAGCCTCAGAGGCCACAGGGCCGAGCTCGCTTGAGGAGGCTTCGCTTTACCCTCAGCAAGGTAAAGATCAGCGTCCGACTCCCCTGGTACTCACCAAACTCCGAAGCTCTTTCTCCAAAGCCTCGTTCATTTGGCTGGCGGAGAGACGGTACAAAGGGCTGGAGTACACACCAGGTCCGAGGTAGAACTGCAGCACCACTGAGCGAGCCTGAGATTGGTCCACAAGCTGAAAAGACCAGCTACTGCTGGGTGGGAGGACCCCAGAGGCGAGAGCATGGCTTGGCGAGGAAGAAGGAAGTAAGCAAGGGAGGAGGGAGGCTAAGGATATGAAGGAGGAAGGGAGGAAACAGGGAAGAAAGAGAAAGGGAGGGGAGGGAGGGAAGAAAAGGTTTATCTTTTTTTTTTTTGGCCTGCTCGAGCTAATTGATGAACAACGGGAGGACAGTGACAATGACAGTGACCCTATGGGATGCTGGAGATCGAACTCACTTAGGCCGTGTGCAAGGCAAATGCCCTTCCCATTGTACTATCACTCTGGCCCCCAAGATTTACTTTCTTGTAGTTTCTTGTCTGTGACTTTAAAAGTTGGAGGGGTTTCAATATGAAATTTAAAATGAAGAACCTCTAATCCACTAGGCAGCAGTCACCAGAACTTGACATTTGTTACATCTTGATGCGAAAGTGGGTCAACTATCCCCTGCTGTGTCCTAGGAATTGATTCCGTTTGTTTCAGCCGGTGTTTCTGGAATGCCAGCTAAGGAGTCCTGAGTCCTGAGAGGAACTCCCGGGGGTCTCTGGGTCCTTCTGTTATGTCTGTCACTCCTGTCTACAAATCCCACAGCCCTTCCAACTTGGCCAACAGAGAACTACTTTCTCCAAGCCGGGGGGGGGGGGGGGAGGGTCTGGGAGGGCACGTCCCTGTCACCACAATCCTATAGGAGGAAAAGGGCACTTCTCAGGGCTCCTTGGTGAGAAATGCAGCTCGCTTGGCTTGGCCCAGAACTCACTCTCTTGTCCTTCCCCAGGGTCAGGGCTACTGATGTAGAAAAGTAGATAGGGAAAGGCCCTTTGCAATGAAACACAGTTTCATGGAAGAAGAATTCTAGGAAGGACCCACCTTGTGGATATAGAAAACAAAGGCCTGATAAGACCATCCGCAGACCCTCAGGACATAGGCCTCCCCATGAAATTCCTCTTTTTGGACCTCCCTGGTAATCTCCTTAGCAACCGGACTTTTACCCGGGAAGAAGCTTCACGTGGCGACAGGCTGGAGAAACCCTATAAAGGCCACCTGGAAGAAAGGCAGGGTGCGCACATGCTGCCTGAGCCCATGTGTGGTACGTCCACGTGGCTGAGCACATGTGGTGCCTGAGCACATGTGTCGCCCGCATCTCCCCTCTTGAGATGTGTACTTCCATGCTTTCGTGTCGAATGCTGGGATGTGTGGAGGGGCTCTCTCCACCCTCGGAGAAGCCCGCGTTCTCTCTGGACGCGTTACTCTCTCTCTTACTCTCCATTCCCCCGCTTATCTGCTTATCCCTTTCTCTCCCTCTCCAAAAATCCTCCAAATAAAATCTATTTGTTTCACTGCTTGTCTACTCCTGAAATTCCTTTCTGTGAGGCGAGACAAGTACCCAGTAAGTAACCCTGGGTCCCGGGTGGCAGAGGCGGGTGGGGAGAAAGTGACCGTCTTGCTCCTCCCCGCTTCACATAAGTCACCCGTGGGGCTCACTGACATCACTACCATGAGAGTCCATGCCCGTGGCTAGCAGGAGGCCATGCTGGAAGGCGGACTTGGCCCAAGCACCCCTTAGAGACTGAAAGGGATGAAATCTCTGCAGGGCTGGGCGGGGGCTTGTGCTGCAGGCAGGGAGGGGCCGGCAATGAGAAATACCAAGATGGGCCACGTCACCAGCCCTGAGGGAGCTCAGAGGTTCAGAGGCATTGAGCACCAGCTGGAAACTGAGGCGCCTCGGGGAGAGGACGGCAAAGCCAGTCACACGATCAGGTGGTCAGCAAGGCCAGGGAAAGACCCTCGCAGCCAGCCTCGAGCCCAAGGGTCTGGGCGGACTCGGCGAGTACGCAGGGGGTGGGGGGGTCGAGGTTTGCTTTGGGGGCTCCTATCTTGTTTTCTCACTGGCCTTGTGAAGAGTTCTCTGTTTCAGAAAGACCCCAGACGGGCCCGATTAGCTGGGGCCAAGGCTAGCACGGCATCTGGGTGCTGGGGACCAATGACAGCCCCAGAATCGTGCCAACACGTTCTCAGTCCCATCAGAGGGAACCGCACAGGACGTGACTGGGAGACCTGTCAGCACCAAGCCGGAACACGGCGGCGAGCACACTGACACACAGCATGCAGGGAGCGAGCGTGGAAGTGGGCGAGGGCGCCCGGGTACCAACCTGCCGCTCTCGGCCCGCTCTGCATTCTCTAACTCCTGAATCTGCCGCTCAGCCACCTGGAGCTGCTGCCTGAGCTTCTCCATTCCCAATTTAGCTCGGAACTGGCCTTCCGGAGCCCATTGAGCTGCAAGAGCTTCTCCTGGGTGGCCTCCAGCTGCGCCGTGGCGTCGGCCAGGGCCTGGGCTTGCTGACTACACATGGCCCGCAACCCCTCCAGGTGCTTTACCTTCGTCTCCGCCTCCTGCAGCTTGTTCAGGGCATCCTCCATCTCCACCAGGTGCTGGTCCTCAGTCTGGTCGAGCTTGGCCCGCGCGGCCTCCAGGCTGTTCTTCTGCTCCTGGGCCATCCTGACCAGCCGCGACCTGAGCGTCTGCAGCTCGGAGGCATGTGCCGCACGCTCAGCCGCCAGCTGGGCCTTCAGGCTCTCTACCTCCTGCTGGGACTCGAACTGCAGCCTCTCCATCTGCATCTTGAGCTCGGCCAGCTCGGCCGCCTCGGCACCCACGCCCCGGCTCACGAACGCCTTCGGCTCGCCCATGGCCTGTTGGTGCGGGGCGATGGCCGTCTCCAGCTTGGACTTCCACAGGGCGATCACGTCCGTGTTCTCGTCGTTGGCATGGTCCAGCTTGGTCCTCAGCCACTCATTCTTCTTGGCGAGCTTCTCGGAGGCCACCTGCAGGGCCTTCGCCTCCTTCTGGTGGGAAAACAAAATTTCCATGAACTTAAAACAGGAAGGAAAAGAAGCAGACATAGAAATTTTTCTTTTGCAAACTGCTTTGGTAGGGTCCGAGCTCAGGACAGCCTCACCTGTCAAGGAAAACTCTGAGAGACCAAGTCCACGCAAAAGCAAGAGGTTTATTCGAGCATTCTCGGGCTCACAGCATGACCGCAAACCGTCAGTGGCTGAGAGCCCTGAGCCTCTTCAGAGGGAGCTTCTGATAGGGCAACTTCCCGCCGTCTCAGAAAAGCCAGCGCACAAATCACCCAATACCTTCGAATGATCACATTAGATGCTGCACGCAGGCAGCCAATCAGGCCTTCTCTGGCCCCATGACCTTATTTGGTGAATTCCAGGGGCAACAAGAAGAAGATGGGTGTCCTTGGTGCTATCAACAGGACGCAGCTGCAGGGCAGGATATGGGCTGGGACTTGCTTTTCTAGGGCCCAATTGTCACGGAGCTATCTTTCAGGTATTCAATTATGTAGGCTAAAAGTAACGTTCTTGCTCAAGTTTTTTTTCCAGAAAAATCAACCTGAGGACACATGTGCTGCAAACATAAAGGAGTTGGTGCTTATAAGCATCTTTGGTTCTGTTAATTTTGAGTTAATATAGCAACTTCCAGTTTCTTTCCCAGACTTTATGGATTGATGGTGTCTGTACTGCATGGTGTCCCTTTATTTTCGTCTTGTCAAATAGCTATGGAGAATCACTGAAGGTATTCATTTTAGGCTACATTGGTTATGAAGCTTTGCAATAATGCAATAGAGGTTTTATTTGTTTTGGGTTTTTATGCCTTTAAACCTCACCCAGTGGTTCTTTTTTTTTCATTTTTTATAATTTTATTTATTGAATCACCATGAGAGCAGTTACAAAGCTTTTGGGTTTAAATCTTGGTTATAAAATGAAAGACCCATACCTTCACCAGTGCCATTCTCCACCACCAAAAACCCCAGTATACCCCCATCCCACACCCTCCCCCTACCTGTGGAGAGATGATTTTCACATTGCGCTCTCTCTACTTTGATTACATTCAATATTTTGACACTGGACCCACCATTATTATTTGGGATTTTACCCCAACACTCAGAGCTGCTGAAAGGGCAACAGTAGACAATTTGTTTTCTATTCCTGGTTATGAATAACATATGATGTCACGTGGTTGTAGTAGTGGCTGTGCGATTTTGAAATTCCAAAATTTTAACAATTAAATCTGGAGGAATTTCTTCCCAAAACCTGCTGGGTTCCAGGATTTGTTCCTGAGTCTGTGGGATCATGGCCATTAAGCAGATTGATCGGGAGCCAGAAAGGCCGTTAGTGGGTGGTGACTAGGGGTCTTGCTGGGATGGGGAGGAAAGGGCTGGTCCCACCCCCATCCCGTGAGGCCCCACATGTCTCATCACTGAGGGCCCAAACCTGACTGTCCAATGGCCTCTGGAGGATGGCGGCCACCGAGCCGCCAAGGGGGAGCAGGTGGAGGGGATAGCACCCTTTCCTCCCTGGAACGGCCCAGCGACAGTAACCTACTGCAGGGTTCAGATGCATTTCTGCCAAAAGCCACTGGATTCTGAGATTTGTGTCTGAGTCTATGGGATCATGGCCGTTAAGCACCTTAATCAGGAGCCAGAGAGGCCGTTTGTGGGTGACGACTTGGGATCTTTTTGTTTAGGAAAGGGCTAGCTCCACCCCCATCCCGTGAGGCCCTACATGTCTCGTCACTGTGGGCCTAAATCTGACTGTCCAGTGGCCTCTGGAGGATGGCGGCCAGCGGGCTGCCAGGGGGAACAGGCCAAGGCACAAAATCTATTCCCACCTGGGGTGGCCCAGCGCCTCTAACTTACTGCAGGGACTGGACACATTTCTGCCAAAAGTCGTTGGGTTTCGAGATTTGTTTCTGATTCTCTGGGATCATGGCTGTTCAGCAGTTCAATCAGGAACCAGAGAGGCCATGCCTCCAATTATATAGCTGAACTGGAGGTGGTTTGTGGGTGTATCTCCCACATATCTTTTACCTGTTTACTTTCGTGGTCAACTCTGCCTCAAGTTTTTGGGGTCTGGCCAAACGCACGGCAGCAATTTGGGGGTACCTGGAAGTCTGAAGGCGCCATCAGGCTGCTGATGCACTCGCCTCACAGGTACAGACTGACCTGCTGGTGGCACCATACCCCCAACCCAGTGCTTCTTAGGGTTTACTCCTGCCTCTGCACTTAGAGATTGCTCCTGCCAGGGCACAGATGACTGGATGGAATTCCTGCCATCGAACCCAGATCAGCCACATGCAAGTACCCTACTCACTGCACTATCTCTTTAGCCCAAGATAAACGCTTTTAAGAAAATGGTTTACAGGTCCAGAGCAATAGTGCAGCTGGTAGGGCATTTGCTTTGGCCAATCTGGCTTCAATCCCTGACATTCCATATAGTCTGACCAAGCACTGTCAGGAGTGATTCCTGAGTGCAGAGCCATGAATAAGCCCTAAGACATCACCAGGGGTGGCACAAACATAACGAAACAAAAAGAAATTGGTGTATCAGAATTCCATTGTAGAAACTGTTTGACTTATTTGACTCTATAATTCTTGATTGTTAGCCAAAAATCTTTTATAAATGAACCTGAGCATAATCAGTTATCACTGGCAAAAAGAAATAATTTTATTAAAGTAGATATAGGACACTTGTTTGCTCAAATTTTAATACTGCTTTACATAGTTTGTGAAACAATTTCAATAATGGTTATTACTAAAAATTTCAATTGATACAGATCTTTCACTTGTCAGACAGTTGATAATCTCCAGAGGAAAATACATCAAAAGCATATATACAATGATAGAAGTTCTTATTATACATGTAGCCTGGATGGTACATTATTTATCACTTTTTACAGAACTAGAAAACATTCAAGTGAAAAAAAATAGATTCAAACTGGATGATAAACTTCTGATGGTTGAGGTCCTTCATTTAATTTTTTTGTGATAAGAAAATCCAAAAGAATTAATGTTGAATTTCTCATCATACATCATCTAAACGCACAGTCAAAAAAAGTAAAGCTTATAAAAACAGTAAATTGGTCATTTTAGGTGTTTCACAAGTAGACTGTTATGTCATCCATCAACTGCTGGAGATTTCTGCACAGTGCAGAGAATGGGGTGGCCGGGCCGAAACTGTTGTTGTCGTAATTGTTCAATTGTTGAGGTCGTCCCCCTTCCTGGAGAGCGGCCTCGGACATCATCTCCACTTTATTGTTGAGGTCCCGATTCTTTCTTTGGAGGTCCACAATCACGGAATTCAGGAAATCAATCTGTGTTAAAGGAGAGGGTGAGACGGTGAGCCATCTGCGGGAGCCATCGGAGCCCGCCACAGAGGAGGCTGGGCCCCGCTTCCAGTCTCCGCCCCAGGGTTTGAGGCAGCCAGAGCTCCCCTTTCCCTTCCTGAGCGCAAGCTCCCGGGTGCCCCAGGGAAGACCCCAGGAGGACATGTTGGGCCCCCTCGGTTCATCTCAGAGCAGGGAGTCAAGAGGGCCTTCCCTCTCCTACAAAGACAGACTCACTTCTTTAAAATCCACGGGGGGAAAAATCCCACTTTACAAAAGCAAGCATGACTGTAGGCACAAACATTCATGTTTCATTTAAAAACTGGCAGGTTTGGGTCTGATAGCACAGCGGGAAAGGTGCTTGCCTCGCACGCAGCCAACCCAGGTTTGATCCCTGGCATCCCACAGTGGCCAGCGGAGAGCAGCCAGGAGTGATTCCTGAGTGCAGCGCCAGGAGGAAGCCCGGAGTATCGCCAGGTGTGGCCCCCAAAGAAAGAAGAAAGAAAACCAGAAAAACAGACTGATTCTTTTTCTCCCTCAGGGCCAGTTCTGATGAGGAGTCTCTGAGAGTGCCCAGGCCCCCCCACACTGGGCCAAGAAACACAGATCTCTCTTCCTCCAGCTGAAAAAAAAAAACAAAAAAAAACATGGAAATGTTCAGTTCCCAACAAGCCCATGCAGGGTCCACGTCCACAGCCCACATGTAAAGTTCACTTCAGCCCACATGTGCCGTCCAGGGCCACCGGCTGTTAAGTACAGAAGTGCAGGAAGTGAGGGTGTGCGGGAACTCCACAGGGCACGGGGACCCAGATGGTCCCCTTCCTCAGAGAGGATTCAAACTATAAAGCGCTGCAGGCCCGGGTGTGATGGAAGAGGGTTGGGGAAGGAGAGCCATCAAGGAGGCCCCAAGGCTGACTCCTGCCGCAGGCCAGACCTGAGCCTGCTGATGGTAGGTGCGGGCACTGGGGTCTGCAGCCAAGTGTGCACACCCCAGAGGACCCCACCCAGCTGTCTCCCTCGACAGGAGCAAGAAGCAGGAAGGCGGCCCAGAGGACCAGACTCCCCAGCTCTGCGCCCAGAGCATGCGCAAGGTGGCCGGGACAGCCACATGTTGGTGCACGTTTCCGTTTGCGACCGGACCTTCCTGATGGGAAGGAGGCCCTCCAAAGTGGTGTTCGACTCTGGCAAAGTGAAGATTTGCCAATTTTATGGGAGCCCGAAGCCCAGGTTCTGGGAGAGCAGCAGGAGTAAGGGCAGTGGAGGGGTCTGGCTTCTCGGCTCTTGCAAGGACGTGACCCCTTGACTGAAGGGATGTGTCCTTGTCCAAGGGGCCTTTCACTCCGTAAGCATCACCTCTTGTGCTGGGAGCGTGTGGGGGTGGGGCTCTGGCAGCAGGTGCCCGGGCCCTGGTTCTCACGAGTGCCAGGTGAGCACAGTCCCTTCTTCCTCAGCTTCCTTCTTTTTGGCTTCTGTTATTTTAATTAATCAATTAATTTGGGAGGGGGGATTTTGGGGTCACAACCGGGCGTTGCTCAGGAGTGACTCCTGGCTCTGCACTCCGGAATTACTCCTGGCTGTGCTTCGGGGACCATATAGGATGCCAGGGATGGAACCTGGGTTGGCCACGTGCAAGGCAAACACCCTACCTGCTGTGCTATAGCTCCGGCCCCATTCTCGGATATCTTAAATGGTAGATATTCCCCGACTCTTTTGAAGCATACACGCATATATACATATGTACATGTCTGTGTATGTATACATGCTTATCTATAACCTTTGTGGGTAGTCAGTTTGGTTTGTTTGGTGGGGTGGGGACTAAGCCCTGGCTCTGTTCTCAGGGATCACTCCTGGCGAGGGAGGAGCAGTCCAGGCCATCAGCAGTCACTCGAGCCCAGGAAAGTGGGGCTGTGTGGTCAGAGGGCAGTGGCTGGCCTTCTCACGGTCATCAAAGAGCCTTGAGACGCTGTGTATGTCAACACATGTGGCTTCTCTTCCTGTCCCGGCCCAGGCTCTGGGCGAGCTAACTGGGGCGTCCAGTCCCTGCCGGGCTCATTGCTCCTCCGAGCAGTCTGGGAGTGGTCAGCTGTTCAGTGATCTCGCCAGGCCGCCCCATGTCCCCCGGATCCTGTGTGGTCACTCCGCGCAGCACCTCCCCAGGGGTCATACAGGGGTCATGCAGGGGTACACTTCCCCTCCTGTCCCATGCGAGAACCAGGGACCAATTACTCCTGGCGGTGCTCAGGGGACCATATGGGATGCCGGGGATTGAACCTGGGTCTGGCGTGTGTAAGTCAAACGCCCTCCCCGCTGTGCTATCACTCTGGCCCATGATATGGTTTCTCTCAAGGCTGAGGCCGGGCCTACACGCCCTGGTCACCACCATCACCCACCTCATTCTGCAAGTTTGCATTGGTGTTCCTGGTGTCCTCCAGGGAGGCCAGGGTCTCTGTCTTCTCTTGGGACAGTTGTTCCATAAAATGCCTGGCATCTTCCGCTGTCTGCATAGCCTGGAGAGAGAAACCTCGTTGAGCCAGGCTGGGGGGCCAGGGAGGGGTTGGCCGCAGTGGCAGAGCACAGCGCGAAACGCCACACAAACCTGCCACAGTGGTTCCGGCCCCCGCTGGGCGCCGCTCACCCCGCGGGGACTCACGTCTAAACCGCTCAGCGGCAAGACTGACGCCCCGAAACAGCCTAGTGCTCCCAAGAGCCTCCATTCCTCACACAGAATAAAAATGACATGAGCGGACAGCTAAGCAGGCCTGGTTGGAAAGCATTGGGGGGAGGGGGGAAAGGAAGGAGAGGAGATGTGAGCCGTGAGCACAGGTGTGGGAGTGGGAGAAAGGCAAACCCTGAGTCAGCTGGGAAGAGAGAACACCTGCCCGGCACCAGGCACCCTCGAGTCCAGGCCGCCCTGCACCGGGCACACTGCTGGTGGCACAGGGCACCCCCGAGTCCCAAGTGAGCAGACTCAGGGCAACCGCTCAAAGTCCCCCGGAAGACACCGCTTTACTTTACAACTCAGTGCCTCTCTCATGACTTCCCTTACGTTTTGAAGGGCCACAGTGCAATCTTCCGTGAGAACTCCCCCCGGAAATGAACATACTGTCCTTTTCGGTTTTATTCACAGCTTATGCCTTGTCCTAGAGGTCAGCAGGCACGTGGTGACGAGCTGTCCCTGCGCCCGCAGCAAACAGCCCGTGACACACGGGTTCCGTGGGGATCCACCGCTCCTTGTGCCGACAAAGAGCAATCCTCTTAACCGCTAAAAGGGGGTGCCCGGGGCCAACGGGGGTCGGGCCTGCTCCACTTTACCGTGAATGCCGGCAGCGTCTCGAGCTCTCTGATTTTAACGGCGAGCCTGATTTTGTCCTTCCTCAGACCGCGGTTCTCCTTCTGGGCCTCCAGAAGGTTGGCCGAGACGTGGCTGCTGGTCTGGGCCAGCCGACTGACCTCCTTCTGGAGGAGGAAGTAACTGCCGGCCAGCTGCTCCTTCTCCCGCAGGATCTCGGCCACGTTCTTGTCTGACCGCGCCTTCTCCTCCACCAGGTCCAGGTGCTCGGCCTGCAGCCCCTGGGCACGCGCCCGCAGCTCCTCCACCTCCTGCTCCAGCAGCCCCAGGCGGCCTCGCAGCTGGCTGGCCTCGTGGGCGGCCGCCTGGGTCTCCTGGGTACGGGCCTCCCGCTCCTGCACCAGGGCCTGCTGTGCCGCGAGCCTGTCCTCCGCCAGCCGCCGGCACTCCTCCTGCCGCTCGGCGTCAAGCGCCTCCTTGGCCTGCAGCATGCTGGCGTGTGTCTTCTCCAGGCTGCGGGCCGCGTCCCAGGCCTCCTGCAGCGCCGCCTTGAGGGCCGACTGATTCTCGAGGACCGATTTCTTCTCGGCCGTGAGCTCCGCGATCTCTTGCACCAGCGACTTCTGATCCCGAGCCAGCTCCTCATAGGAGCACTGCAGCTTCTGGATGATGTTGTCCTTGTCTTTGGCCAGGGATAGGTTCTCCAGAACCAGCTTCTTCGCATGCTCCTCCAGCTGGCCCCTCTCCTCCAGGCCCTTCTTACACTCGGCCACCAGGCCGCTCTTGCTCATCTGCAGCTCCTCCACCAGGGCCTGCAGCCCCACCTTGGCGACCTGCAGGGCGTCGTTCTCCGCGCGCACCCTCTGGAGCTCCTCCTGCACTGCCCTGCCCTCTTCCAGCACTTTCTCTTTCTCCGCCTCGAGGGCTTCTCGGCCGAGCCGCTCCTCCTGCCAGAGCTTCTCTGCGGCCCGCCTGGCCTCGATGACCTTCTCTTTATCGAAAAGAATCGCTTGGTTCAACAGCCAGAGCTTCCTCTGCTCTTCCCGCAGCGAAGAGTTTTTGGCCTCCGCTTCCTTCAACTTCAATAGCAATGACTCTCTCTCTGACTTCAGAGAGAGCTTCTCCTTCGCCAGCAATTGATTCTCTGACCTCAGGGCCCTGCGATCCTCCGACATCAGCTCAATTTCCTCTGATGTTATTAGGGAAGTTAATGACTACAGGAACAAAAGCGGGGAAGAATGGAAACAAGAATGAGATCAAGCAGGCACAAGCAAGCCAAGCACTTAATGTGGCCTAAATACCAGAAATGAAAATGGCAGAGTAGTCTTACCTGCACACGCGTGTATATGCGCGCGCACACACTCACACACTCACACACACACACGCACACACACACGCAGGATGGAGAGGCTGAAACAGCTTCACAGGGTCAACATATCTACCTGCCTTTTTTGTGGATGGGGGCCCCACACCTGGAGGTGTTCTGGGCTCGCTCAGGGTTCCGTGCTCAGGGATCACTGCTGGTAGGGCCGGAGGACCATACGGGATGCTGGGGATCAACCCGGGTTGGCCGAGTACAAGGCAGCACTACCTATTCTTACTATCAGCCATTTTATTTTTGAAATGCCGTCTTAAATTATTCCTGACAGCTCCCCGGAAGGTTTAAGTACAGTTGGATCTTGACGTTGGGGCATAAGATTTTTTCCCCCCACTTCAATTATTCTATTATAAAATCCATCACTGTCATAGAAGGGATGCATTAAAAAACTAGTTTTCAGTACAATTCAGAGAACTACAAAAAGTATTTTGTTTTTGAACTTTGTGCAGAAGGGGAAGGCAAAAGCAACCACTGCTGGTCAAACGATTTTCACAGGGACAAACAGAGGCAGGAAATGGACTTAGTCCCAAAAGTTATACACTTTATAGAAAATCCAGACTAATCCACCAAGCTTTGGAGACTGAAGCCAACAGGTTTTGCTTGCCAAACACAGTAACAACAAGTCTCAAAATGGAGACATTAGTGGGCCCGCTCGAGCAAATCGATGAACAATGGGAGGCAGTGTTTGCAGTAATTTGGGAGGGGCCCAGAGGCTCCAGGAGGAGTGGCCGCACACGGGCCAGGGTCTCCCTCACCTGCTCTCCCTGCCCGTCAGCAATGGGTTGTGTGTTTTCTTTTCTGAGTCTCAATGCACACCATAGTTTAACCGCCATGTACTTTCCAGAACTTTCTGCAGCAAGGGCTATCTTCTCTGTCCAGCTCAGCAGCCATGAGCTGCAGCAGGCTACTGGTGTGCGCTGGGCAGCTGACCGCTGACGGTCAGGTTACCGGAATGGGGCTGACCTGAGCATGTACACGAGGCTGCTGGCCACAGAACTGGGCCGTGCAGGTGGTCCAGAGAGGAGACGTAGCCCTGGCTCTGGTGCGTGGTGGAAAGAGGCCGGGCACCAACACACACGCGGGCCATGGCCGCCACTCAGCAGCCCTGGTTTCCTCTGATGTAAGCTCGGTTCCGTTTTCTTTCCACTGGCTTATAGATATGTATACACACACATATACATACAAGCACATATATGTATAGGCATACACATATATGTATAAACTATACATGGGACCAAGCGTGGAAAACTAAAAATGTATCAAAATATGTACATATGAATTAAAATACACTTATTATATGGATATAAAGATGTACACATATGTACATGTTATGTATGTACACACATATATGTGTGTGTACATTATTTTCCTTTTTGTTTTGGGGTTCACACCCGGCAGAGGTCACGGCTTCCTCCTGGGTGCTTGGGGGACCCTGGGGGATGCTGGGGATCACCCGGTGGGTCACGTGCACAGCAAGTGCCCTCTCCCTGCACTAGTTCCAGCCACTCTATTTCTCCCCACTGAGCTTCGAACCTTAACATTTCTCTGATACACTAAAAAATGCCTTTGAGCAATCAAGTGAAAACACGAAGGCCTGAACTTACTGAGCAAGCTAAAGACAAAACGGACAACCCAAGCTGGGGTCCCTGGGCTTCTATGTGCTCTGCCGGGCGCCCCGGGAGCAACCCCCTTCTGGCTCTCACAGGCGCCAACGGGCGGAGGAAGTGTCTGAGGCTGCAGGCCGAGGCCCCCAACAGAGCCCGACCCCGAGACGGCGGCCCTGCGCCCACACACCTTGGCCTTGTCGGCTTGCGTCTTCAGCTCGGCCACCTCCCGCAGCAGGCTCCCGTTCTCCGCCTGCACCGCCTGCAGCTTCTCCTCCGCCTGCAGCCGCAGCTTCTGCAGGGCCTGCAGCGCCTCCTCGTGCTGCGCCTGGCTCTCCGTGGTGGACTTGGCGTGCTCGGCCTGCAGAGCCTGGGACTGGCTGCGGCTCACGTCCACCTTCTCCCCCTGCGGGGAGCCGGGGGCCACCATCAGTCGCAGGCCTCCTGCCTGCCCCCAGCACACACGCGCGCACACACATACACACACACACAACGCACACAAACACATAAACATACCCGCACACACACGGGCGACTCTGCTCTGCTCACCAGCACACACACACAATGTTCATGAAAATGAACTTGCACTTAGAACATAGATATTGGGGGCTGAAGGGCTGGCACAGGGTCCAGGCGCCCGAGAACAGCCAGCCGGTTAGACCCTGAGCCAGGAGTACCACCGAGTTTGGGGGGAGCCCCAATAAACATGGTGATCATCTGGGGGCTGGGAGAGAGAGAGCACTGAGTAAGGCCACTTGGCCCTGGTCTGAATCCCGGCACTAACAGGAATATCCTGAGCACAAAGCCAGGAGTCGCCTCCAAGGACTGACAGGCATGGCACTAGTCCCCCACAACCACCATCAAAATATATATATATATATATATATATATATATATATATATATACACACACACACACCCCAGGGCCAGAGCAATCACCCAGCGGGGAGGGTGTTTGTCTTGCACAAGGATGACCCGCCTTTGATCCCCAGCATCCCATAGGGGATGCCCCGTCAGTAGTAATTCCTGAGTGCAGAGCCAGGAGTGACCCCTGAACGCCCCCAACTGTGACAAAAAGACAAAAAACAACAAGAACTACAACAGGAACAAAAAAACCCCAGAAAACAAAAATAATCTACCCCAAACTCACACACACAAAAAAACAAACACACACACACACACACACAAAAAATCCTAAAAAGAAAACCAGAAAACACACTTTGATCCAGTGCAGGAAGGTGTCTGGAAGGTTCCAGCAAAGCGGCCTTCCCAGTGCATGTCTCTCACCCCCTCCCCTTGATGTGAGCCCCCAGTGCTCCCGGCTGCCAGGGGAGACCGAGCCGAGGGGGCAGGGGCACGGGAGAGGAGCCTGAGGCGCTGCTGAGGGGAGGAAGGAGCCTGGCACTCAGGGAGCATCGCTGGCCACTCACTGATCAGGCAGAGGCGGAGGGCACAGCGCGGACAGAGCAGCGCACCTACCTTTGCTGCCCCAATGGGGGCTCGCGCAGCCCCTGGGGCTTTCGAGCTGACATGCTCATGAGCCTCAGAGGCGATAGGGGCCGAGCTCGCCTGAGGAGGCTTCGCTTTACCCTCAGCAAGGGAAAGATCAGCGTCCGACTCCCCTGGTACTCACCAAACTCCGAAGCTCTTTCTCCAAAGCCTCCTTCACTCGACTGACTTCGTTCAAGTTCTCCTGAAGACTACGAAGCGCTAGCTCCTTCCCCTGCAGCTCCTCGGCCAGGCTCTCGGCCTACCAGAGTGACAAGGATGGAGTGAATGGACCAAAAAGACGAACAGGAACGGGAAGGGGAAAACAAAACAGAAAACACGTATGAGAAGCCCATGACCCAACACAACCCCGAAGAAGAGGCGTGAGGTGAGCGTGATTGCCTGAAGCTCTCGAAGCCAAGGCTTTGGCGCCATCAGTTCTGGGGATGACTGTCTAGTGGTTATTGAAAATGACTCAAACAGAGGCGTTTTCTAGACCTACATTTGGAGTGACCAGAAAATAAGAAAGCCTATGAGAAAGACTGACTTTCCAGGGGCGGGGAGACGGCACAAAGGGCTGGAGTACACACCAGGCCCGAATTTGAACTGCAGCCCCACTGGGCGAGCCTGTGATCGGTCCACAAGCTGAAAAGACCAGCTACTGCTGGGTGGGAGGACCCCAGAGCCGAGAGCATGGCTTGGCGAGGAAGAAGGAAGTAAGCAAGGGAGGAGGGGGGCTAAGGATACGAAGGAGGGAGGGAGGAAACAGGGAAGAAAGAGAAAGGGAGGGGAAGGAGGGAAGAAAAGGTTTATCTTTTTTTTTTTTGGCCTGCTCAAGCTAATCGATGAACAACGGGAGGACAGTGACAATGACAGTGACCCTATGGGATGCTGGAGATCGAACTCACTTAGGCCGTGTGCAAGGCAAATGCCCTTCCCACTGTACTATCACTCTGGCCCCCAAGATTTACTTTCTTGTAGTTTCTTGTCTGTGACTTTAAAAGTTGGAGGGGTTTCGATATGAAATTTAAAATGAAGAACCTCTAATCCACTAGGCAGCAGTCACCAGAACTTGACGTTTGTTACATCTTGATGCGAACAAGTGGCTCAACTATTCCCTGCTGTGTCCTAGGAATTGATTCCGTTTGTTTCAGCCTGTGTTTCTGGAATGCCAGCTAAGGAGTCCTGAGTCCTGAGAGGAACTCCCGGGGGTCTCTGGGTCCTTCTGTTATGTCTGTCAGTCCTGTCTACAAATCCCACATCTCTTCCATCTTGGCCAACAGAGAAGTTTCTCCAACAAAGCGCCCAGCGCCGGGGGGGTGGGGGAGAAAGGGGGGGACGGGCGCGGCTGGGAGGGCACGTCTCTGCCACCACAATCCTATAGGAGGAAAAGGGCATTTCTCGGGGCTCCTTGGTGAGAACTGCAGCTTCCTCGGCTTGGCCCAGATCTCACTGTCTTGTCCTTCCGCAGGGTCAGGGCTACCATGAGAGTCCATGCCCGCGGTCAGCAGGAGGCCATGCTGGAAGGCGGACTTGGCCCAAGCACCCCTTAGAGACTGAAAGGGATGAAATCTCTGCAGGGCTGGGCGAGGGCTTGTGCTGCAGGCAGGGAGGGGCCGGCAATGAGAAATACCAAGATGGGCCACGTCACCAGCCCTGAGGGAGCTCAGAGGTTCAGAGGCACTGAGCACGAGCTGGAAACTGAGGCGCCTCGGGGACAGGATGGCAAAGCCAGTCACACGAGCAAGTGGTCAGCAATGTCAGGGAAAGACTCCTGCGGCCAGACTTGAGCCCAAGGGTATGGGCGGACTTGGCGAGTACACAGGGGGCCCAAGGCGGGGGGGCCGAGGTTTGCTCTGGGGGCTCCTATCTTGTTTTCTCACTGGCCTTGTGAAGAGTTCTCAGTTTCAGAAAGACCCCAGACGGGCCCAATTAGCCGGGGCCAAGGCTAGCACGGCATCCGGGTGCTGGGGACCAATGACCGCCCCAGAATCGTGCCGACCCGTTCTCAGTCCCATCAGAGGGTACCGCACGGGACGTGACCGGGAGACCTGTCAGCACCAAGCCGGAACACGGCGGCGAGCAGAGGGACACACAGCATGCAGGGAGCGAGCGTGGAAGTGGGCGAGGGTGCCCGGGTACCAACCTGCCGCTCTCGGCCCACTTTGCATTCTCTAACTCCTGAATCTGCCGCTCAGCCACCTGGAGCTGCCGCCTGAGCCTCTCCATTCCCAATTTAGCTCGGAACTGGCCTTCCGGAGCCCATCGAGCTGCAAGAGCTTCTCCTGGGTGGCCTCCAGCTGCGCCGTGGCGTCGGCCAGGGCCTGGGCTTGCTGACTACACATGGCCCGCAACCCCTCCAGGTGCTTTACCTTCGTCTCCGCCTCCTGCAGCTTGTTCAGGGCGTCCTCCATCTCCACCAGGTGCTGGTCCTCGGTCTGGTCGAGCTTGGCCCGCGCGGCCTCCAGGCTGTTCTTCTGCTCCTGGGCCATCCTGACCAGCCGCGACCTGAGCGTCTGCAGCTCAGAGGCGTGTGCTGCACGCTCAGCCACCTGCTGGGCCTTCAAGTTCTCCACCTCCTGCTGGGACTCGAACTGCAGCCTCTCCATCTGCATCTTGAGCTCGGCCAGCTCGGCCGCCTCGGCACCCACGCCCCGGCTCACGGACGCCTTCGGCTCGCCCATGGCCTGTTGGTGCGGGGCGATGGCTGTCTCCAGCTTGGACTTCCACGGGGCGATCACGTCCGTGTTCTCCTCGTTCGCGTGGTCCAGCTTGGTCCTCCCCCACTCGTTCTCCTTGGCGAGCTTCTCAGAGGCCGCCTGCAGGGCCTTCACCTCCTGGTGGGAAAACAAAATTTCCATGAACTTAAAACAGGAAGGAAAAGAAGCAGAAATAGAAATTATTCTTTTGCAAACTGACTGTTTGCTTTTTCTTGTTTTAAGGAATTTCACTGTTTTCATTTCATCATCCTGTTATTCGTCGATTGCCTCGAGCAGGCCCCAGTAACGTCTCTTTCATCCTAGCCGTGAGATTATATTCAAGGCTATTTAGGAGAATGAGACCCATCATTGTTACTGGTATTTGGCATATTTGGTACGCCACGGGGAGTTTGCCAGACTCTGCCCTGTGGGCAGGCTACATTCGATAGCCTGCAAGTTTGTCCAAAATAGGAATGAGACAATAAGGTGTCATAAAACAAAAGTTCTGATAAGATGTCGCGCGGCCGCGTGGTTCCGGGATCTGGATTTTATAGTCTCTGAGTCTTGGCCGCTGATGGGATTACACGGCGCCAGGGGGCCAGGTGGTGGGTGTGACCCCCGCCTACTTCAAAAAACTGGGGTTCTAAAGGATTTGATTTGTGCTGCTCGACTGAAAATCAAAGCTGAGGCAAAGGCGTAGACCCAACTGTCAGAACGAGAGAAAAACGCTCATCAACAGCAGCCTCCGGCCCCAAGGAGCAGAGGTGCCTCCGCCGGGCCCTGCCAGGTGCATGACACCAGGTATCCCTGTCTGATTTGGAGTCTCCAGCAGAAGTGGTCCCGGCGGGGTCGGCCAGGCCACCCCGCATCCTTGCCTGCACCCTGCAAGCCTCTTGACCTGCCCGGGCTTTACCTCCAGGTCGCCTTTGGTGATGGACTCCTCTTCGACTCGGAACTGGAGGTCCTCCACTTTCCTGTGGGGGAGAGGGAGAGTTGTGAGGGGCGTCACTGCTGCCCCCCATGAGGGCCACCATCCTGTAGATGCACGCCTGACCCAGCCCCCGCCTCCACACACAGGAGGGCTGAGAGAGTCAGCGAGGGCCAGAGCGAGAGTACAGCGGGCAGGGCATTTGTCGTGCACGTGGCCGACCCGGGTTCAATTTCCAGCATCCCATTATGGTCCTCTGAGCAATGCCAGGAGTAATTCCTGAGTGCCGAGGCAGGAGTAACCCCTGAGCATCGCTGGGTTGACCCAAAAAGAAAAAAAACAAAGTCAGCGAGTCCCCTCGGCTGCGAGCACTGGGTAGGACCCGCAGGCTACAGGAGGAAGCTCTGTCTAGCCAACGCCAGGCACAGTGTCATATCAGCCTTTTCTGCCTCGCAGCTAACAGAGGTGGTTAAAGACTGACCAGGTGCGCATGCCAGTCCCTCCCAGCCAGCGCCTGTCCCCGCATCGGGACAACAACTGAGCCCCTGGGGGAGAAGCAGCAAATGACTCGGGGCCAGGGCGGCGGGGGGGGGGGGGGGCAGGAGGGGCTCCCAGGGGACGTGGCGAGTTCAGCATGTGGAGCTGAGAGGCTGAGCCGTGCACTGGCAGTGCCCCTGGGCACCACACTGCCGGGAGCCCATCTGAGAAGACGGTCTTGGCTGGCACCCCATGTCCGTCTGTCTGCAGCCTGGCCTGAGCCCAGCCTGTCTGCTGCCGTGCCCCATGGGTGCTGCGGGTTTCCTCCCGCCCAGGACTTAACCCCAGGGACTCCCACAGGACCCCACTGGGATACGACAGTTCCCGACCACCCATCACAGGTCTCCTGACCACCAGGCCACGTGGACACAGCAGGGAGGGCCGGGGGTGGCTGGGTTCCAGTGAGCTCCCCCCTATCCCCCCCAATGAGGCCACTCTCAGGACTGGGCACCCGCTGGTTTGTGGTTCTCACAGCCCTGGAAGGCCAGGAGCACCCCACCCGAGGCAGCCCCCCAGCTCCTGGCACGGCCTCACCTCTTCTCCTCCTCCAGCTGGTTCAGCAGCTCCACCTTCTCCCAGTCGCTCGCTTCCAGCATGGCCCGCAGCTCGTCCATCTTGGCCTCCAGCTCCAGGATGTACTGTGGAGGCAACTGCATGTGAGTGTCCTCGCCCGCCCCCGACAGCCCTCTGTGGGCTGGCACCGCCACCTGCCACCACGGCATGCTGAATGTGTCTCCCACCTAAGATGCAGCATTTCTGGAAGGCGGGAAGGGAAACACAGCACGAAAGCACCGGCGGGGACAACTCGGCGCTCCCTGAACCCCCACGGGGCGAGCAGAAGGTGCATGCGATCAAACCACTTGGTGGACGCCACCGCAACGACGGCAGACGGGGACCCACGGCCTCTCCCTGCACCGCCTGCACCAAGCTCGCGCCCAGCCTCTGCCGCAGGCGTCTCTCGGACCCGGCACTGCCGTCTGCACAGACGTCACCTGGTTGTGCCCGTCCCGGCCAGGGCCAGCTCCTGCTCTATCTCCCCCACATGGCTCGTGGCCTTGGCCACCTCCACCCGCTCCAGGTCTCGCTCGGCCAGCAGCTGCTCAATGTGCTGCTGCTTCTCCTTCAGTGCCTCCTGGAGGGCGGTGGTGCCGGAGATCTTGCGGGCGCAGCGGGAGGAAGTTACCGGCAACTGCAAAGGAAAAAGAGACGTGAAGGGGGTGGGGGCAGCGGACGCGGGCATGCATGTGGCTATCCTCAGCAAAGCAGATGGAGGAGCGCTGCATCCGTGCATATGGGCCACTGACTCTCAGCAGAAGCGTCTTGAAACCTTCCCGAAGATCCTTGGACGGGACCTGGGCTCCACTGACCTCGGGCCTCGTGGGAATCCAGAGACTCTTCTGCAGAGCCGTCGGCAGCCCCCTCCACAGCCCGCTCTGGCCTGAGCTTCCTTAAGGCTGAGCCCTTGGCTTGAGCTTGAGGCTGGCTCCAGCATCTTCAGCCTTGCACGTCCGTCCGTCAGGGTCTCCCCAGGGCAGCCTGGCCCTTCTCTCTTCCTCTTCCTTCCAGCTCACCTCACTCTCCCCAGCACCCGCCCCAGGCCTGAACAGCAGTAACCAGAGACTCTTGTCTCTGGGAATGGCCCCGGGCCCCTGAGGGTCACTGGGTGTGACCCCATAAAAGACCCCTGTGCCATCTGCCTTCGAAAGTGGGGGATGAGAGGCTAGAATGGTAAAGTTGCGGGGAAGGCGCTGGCCTTGCACGCCGCTGACCCGAGCTGGATCCCAAGTACCCACCCCACAGGGTCCCGAGCCCACCAGGAGTGACACTGAGTGCAGAGCCCGGAGTAAGTCCTGAGCATTGCTGGGGTGTGGCCCAAAATCCAGGGAAAAAAGGAACAAGTGGTGGGTGAGCATGTGTGAGGGCTCACGCCCAGCGAGCAGGACAGCAAGGGCAGCTCAGGGGAAGACCAAGCACAAAGGGAAGGAGAGAAGAGGCAAAGACAGTGAGGAGGGGAGGGGAGTGGGCTGGAGGGCCGTGGGGACCGGGGGTCCTGTCCGTTCTGTCCTGGGCTCATGGTCGCTCTGCAGACCCAGATCCCGCTCGGCACAACGGCCCCTGCAGGAGGGGACAAGGTGGGACCTGGTCTTCATTCTTCGGGCACAAGGTGGCAGGGGCTGAGGCGGGGGTGGCTGAGGACGTCCGCTCCTCTGCCCGGCCATCCCTGTTCCATCGCCCTGCTGTGGTCCAGCGCAGGGTCTCTTGCCGCTTCCCCGCATCATCTGAGCTGCTGCCAAACGCCTCCTGACCGACGAGCCCAGCAGGGCCCAGGCTGTCCACCGCTGCTTTGCCTCCTGGGAGCTCTCGAGCTACCTGGTTCTGTCCTGGGAGTGGGCTCATCCTTGGCTCTGCGTAAGGATCTGGCCGTGACTCCCCAATACACTTAAAGTATATTGGTCAGATTAAATGCTCTCCCCAGGGCCAAAGAGTTTGGTTTTTTTTGGGGGGGGGGAAGGTGCTTGCAGAGGTTCAAGATCCAGCACCGTCAGGAGTGACCCCAAGAGCAGAGAGCCAGGAATAAGCCCTGAGCACCCCTGAGTGTGGCCCCAAAACCAAATAATAAATAAATAAAATTTCTAGGAGCACACGAGCTCTCGGGCCCAGCCATATGCAGTGCTGCCGGGAACTGCAGTCAACTCTGATTTCAAGGGGTGGCTGGGAAGAGCTTGACAGCCTTGAGGGTCTCCACCAAGACCTGGGCTCAAACCCCCTCCACCGGGAGCAGCCCCCAAGCACCACGCCTGGAGTCCCTGATCACTGCCAGGTGAGCCCCAAAACCAAAGAGCAAAAATAAAAACTAGGAAAGGCGGGCGGCGGTGTTCCCTGAGCCTCCTGGCCTGAGCGGGTGGGGCAGGCCAGACCCACACGCTTCCTGGGCCCGAGACAGCTCCCTGAGGAAACCAGCATGGGAGCGAACAGCTTCTTTCAGGCAACCATGGGAATGAACGAGACTGTGAGGTTCAGGCGCCGGAGCAGGGAGAAAGCAGCAACCCTGGCATGAGGGGAGGCAGGCGCTGAGGGGCTGGGCAAGGTCGGGGCCACGAACTGAACTCAGGATGTTGATGCCAAAGCCTCTGCTCTGCGCGTGGTGTGTGAGGCCCCAGGCTCCATGCCAGCAAGGCCAGACCCTCTGTGGGAGCCTGGTACCTCAGAAGAGCAACTCAGCCAACAAGCGAACTGGGAGGCCTCCCACAGGGCAAGCACGGACCTGTGTGCATGTATGTATGCATGCACGTACGTTCCTGTGGACATGTCTACACACACCTGTGTGCATGCACGCGTTGTGTCTATGCATGTACGTGCCTGTGTGTATATACCCATCAGCCTGTGTATATACGGTATGTACTACGTGTACATGTATGAGTGGCTGTGTGTGTGTGAACGCTTGTGTGTGCACGTATGGAATTATGTTGTCGAGGTATACTTCCATGAAGCCACACAGACTCATTCTATATCCCTGTCATAGACGCTAACGGTGATGTGCAGTGTAGGAGTAAGCTCCACCCTGCGTAAAGATATGCAATGCAGGGGCCAAAGAGCTGGAGAGCCAAGCCCCAGCGCTGCCCAGGCTCAATCCCGGAGGCCCGCCAGGAATAATCCCGAGCACAGAGGTAGAAGAAAGCCCTGGGCTCTGCCAGGTGTGACCCCGGAACAGAACAAAACAAGACAGCAGGGGGAGGCTGGAGATACGGCTCAGGCGTGGGGCTCTTGCTCGGAGGTGGGAGGCCCCGGCTCAACCCCAGCACTGCAAACGGCCCCTTGAAGCACTGCAGGGTGTGGCCCACAGTCAAGCAGAAAAACAAAACCAAATTCCACAAACGGGCTGGCTCGCGAGGGAAGGAGAGGGGCTTCTGAGTCTGCTCCCCTCCTGAATGGCGAGGCGAGGGGAAGGAGGACTCGGACGTGAGGATGGAGGCAGGGCAGGGAAACCTGGTGGTGGTCGAGCAAGACAGGACTGGCCCCAGGCCTGTGCCCACAGCGCACGGCCTCCTGGCTCCCGATCCCGTGTCATCTGTTTTGTATCTTCCGTTGCACACACACTCACTCCCTCCTCTTCCGCATCGAGGGTCAATGCAGGGAGCAGAGGAGGTGGCAGGAAGCGCAGCCCCCAGCAAAGCCAGCCCCCCGGGACACGTCTCCATCGTGGGCCCGTTTCCCTGTGGACAATATCTCAGGACACCCTTGAATATTCGGACACACTTTAGTGTTTAGGACTTGCGGCCCCGCAATGGACAGAAGTCGAGGCCCCTCTGCATGTCGACAGGGGTGCAGAGGGACAGGAGGGAGCAGGGAGGGACGGAGAGAGCAAACAGGCAACGCCAAGCACCAAGCGTTCCCCAGAGTCTCTGGGTCCCGCTCTGACCCTCCGACGCCCCCTTCAGCTCCCCCACTTCATCCCTAAGGCGGCCTGAGCCCTGAGCACCCGAGGAAAGGCCCATCCCTGCTCCTGTCACCGGTGGTGGCTGGGAAGCCACTTGCCTGCCACGTGGAGCTGCTCAGCCCACCCGGTCCTGTTCCGCCTCTCGCCCTTGGGGCCTGGGTGTCTGTGGGGGCCTGAGCATCGCACAGGGCGGGGGAGGGGGGGCTGCTTACTAGTCCCGTGTGGCTGGGCCTGCTGCTCACGGATGAGGCCACGGAGCTCACGGAGCTGAGCGAGGAGGCCGACGGGCGGCGCTTCAGGCTGGCGGGGGTGGTGGCCATCACACGCCTCGCGGGGGCTGCCTTGGCCTTGGCCGGCGTCGTGGAGGGGAAGCCGATCTTGGTGACTTTGTGAATGCGAACAAACAAGCCACACTTGGGCTGACACTGGAAGTACCTGCGGACAACGAGGAGGGGAGGGACAAAAGACACCTTTGGCAAGAGAGACAGGCGCCGACCGCGGAGTCCACTGAGTCCCACAGTCTCACACCCCCACAAACTAACACACTCCCACAGCCCCACACTCCCACCCCAACAAATACTCCCACACTCTCACAGCCCAACCAACAGTCCTACACTCTCACACTCCCACTCACCCCAACAAACACACTCACACCCCAACCAACACTCCCACATTTCCACAGCCCCACACTCACACACACTCACTCCCCAACAAACACACACACTCATACCCCAACCAACACTCCCACACACTCACACTCCAACCAACACACACTCACACTCACACCCCAACCAACACTCCCACACTCCCACACACTCAAACCCCAACACACACATACTCACACCCCAACAAACACTCCCAGACTCACCCCAAGAAACACACACACTCACATCGCAACCAACACTCCCACACTCTCACACTTCCACCACAACAAACACTCACACTCACACCCCAACCAACACTCCCACACTCCCACACACTCAAACCCCAACACACACACACTCACACCCCAACAAACACTCCCACATGCTCACAGCCCCACACTCACACACACTCACTCCCCAAGAAACACCCACTCACACACAACCAACACTCCCACACTCTCACACCCTAACCAACACACACACCCCAACAAACACTCCCAGACTCACCCCAAGAAACACACACACTCACATCGCAACCAACACTCCCACACTCTCACACTTCCACCCCAACAAATACACACACTCACACCCCAACACACACTCCCACATTTCCAGAGCCCCACACTCACACACACTCAAATCCCAACTAACACACACTTACACCCCAACCAACACTCCCAAACACTCTCACCCCAACAAACACTCCCACACTCACCCCAAGAAACACACACACTCACACCCCAACCAACACTCCCACACTCTCACACTCCCACCCCAACATACACACACACTCACAGCACAACAAACACACCCACATTTCCACAGCCCCACACTCACACACACTCACCCCCCAACAAGCACTCATACCCTCCCACAGCCCCACACTCATGCACACACACCCCAACTAACACACACACTCACACCCCAACCGATATTCCCACACTCCCACACACTCACACGCCAACCAACACACCCACACTCCCAACGTCCCACACTCACAAACACTCACACCCCAATAAAAACACACTCACACTCAAACCCCAACAAACACTGCCACACTCCCACAGCCCCACAGTCACACACACGCACACCCAACCAACACTTGCACGCTCTCAAACCAACAATGACACGCTCTCATTCCCTCACAAACATGCTCACACCTCCACCAACACTCACATGCTCATGCCCTCACCAACAATCTCACAGCCCCACACTCACACGCTCACATACACACACCCTCCTACATACATATCCACACTCCGAAGCACACACATTCATACATTCACACACACACTCCCTCGCACGCCGCCCACCCCCACTGCGCAAACCAGGGGCGATTCCAAGCAGCCTCCCTGGCATCTGAAGGGCGACAGCAGGCCTGGGGGGTTCCTGCGGGCCTAGCACAGCTGCATGTGGGAGCCCCAGGCTGTCCCCACATCCCTGCAGGGTCCCCGAGTGCCACCGGAAGTGGCCCCGCCTAAGAACCAAGTGAAGTGGCCTGCAGTCCCCTCAGCGCCTCCCGGGCACCGTGCATTGCCCCAGGCTGTCTGGGGGGGCAGGGGAACCCACCTCGTTCCGGCCACGGCGCCATCGTTCTTGCCCAGCGGCTTGTCCAGCTCCACGCCACACCAATTCCCCTTGGCAAAGTCCGTCTCCCCGAGAAAGCGCACCACACCGGGCTTCACGCCTCCCACCTGCCGGAGGGACGCGGGTCAGGCACCCTGGACTGCGCACAGTGCCCCCACCCCCGCAAAGGAACATTCTGGCTTCAGAGTAGGGATTTCCGGAAGAAACCCCAAAGGTCAAGGTGCCACTTCCCCCCCGCAACCCCTACAGGGTGAGCAGACGCTGCTGCTCAGTGTCCATGCAAGGCAGCGGCGTTCACACCCACTCGCTGTCACTGGCGGCCTGGGTGACCACATCCCCGGGAATCTCTGACCCAGGCCAGCCACCTGGTGTGGCAAGGGGGTCGCTGCCCCGCGGGTGTGGGAGCGGAGCCGTGGCAACCCCACCGCTGGAGAACAATTCAGCCAGAAACCAGCTAAAGGAAAATGACTGTTCTCATATCTTAGCGGACTTCGATTTTCCAGTTCTCCTTCACTATGCCTTGGCTTGATGCTTGGCCCCCGGGATGCAGAGCAAAACAGAGAAAACAGATGGTCCCCCTAGCCCGCCAAGAGTGATTCCTCAGTGCAAAGCCTGAGTGACCCAAAAGCACTGCCAGGAGTGGCCCCAAAACCAAAAAGTCAAAACAGAAAGGGGGGAGAGAGAGAGAGAGAGAGAGAGAGAGAGAGAGAGAGAGAGAGAGAGAGAGAGAGGAACCTCAACTAATAATGCCCGAGAGCGTGGTTTTCTTTTTTTGGGTCTGGGGTAGGACTGGGTTCACGTGGTCGGGGGTCACTTGCAGCACGAGGGGTAGCAGCGTCACCCAGGACTGTCTCTGTGAGTCCTGAAGTGCCATCTGCAAAGGCCCTGGCACAGCCTCCATGGCCAGACGTGGGCCCTGGGCACTGTGAGTGTGACAAGGAATAAAACAGCAAGAGAGAGGTGGCTGGGGTGGCGGTCCTGGGGTGAGAAGAGGCTGCAAAGTTCCTGTCTCACAGCTGGTCATCGGCACAGAACATGCCGTCCCTGACCTGGAAACAGCCTCCTGGAACAGCACAGCTGGAAGCCAGTCAAGTCTCTCAAGACCCTGACATTATATCCTGGAAATATCATCTGCCCAAAACTGCTGCAAGCCTGTCTCCAGAACATTCTGTCAGAGCTCAGCTGGAGAGAAGGGAAGTGATCTCCCAAGTTCAGGAGAACCACCGCACATCAGCCCGGAGAAGCTCTTCACGGTTGGACTCTGAGACGCCACAGGACGGACAGAGTGACCTCCCGCTCTGAGACACCATAAGACTGACCAGAGCGACTGACTGTCCCGCTCTGCGACCCCTGCCTACTTGCGAGCACAGACGGGACTTGAGGTCAGAGCTGGGCATTTCCAGTGAGCCCACTGAGGGTCCCTGAGTCTCCAGAGAGAACCAAAGTAGCACAAGCATGGGGGCAACCTGTCCACTGCCAGTGACAGCGAGTGCCGGGGGCAGGGGACCGTCTTCCACAGGCCTGGAGGCTGGAACAGCCATGTCAGAGCCTTCGAAGGGCTCCTCGGAGGTCAGTCCCGTAAACATCGGGGCCAGCTGGCGCAGAACCTGGACTTCCTGTGCGCAGGGAAGAATGGGGCAAAGGGCAGGAGGCCCTTTGGAGAGCCAGGAGGGCGCCAGCCCTGCACGGGAGCTTCGCCTCAGTGCCCCGAGTCCAGCCCCCACTCGCCACGGCCTCCTGACCACGGCTGCGTTAGGCCGTGGAGCGCCAAGCAAACCTTCCTTGAATTAGGAAAAAGACCAAATAAAGTGTTTGGGTTTTCTTTTTTCCCCCTTCTTCTTTCAGAAAACAGCTCTTATGCTGGTTGTGGTCCCCCAAAAAAACCCTCAAAAACTTTTTTTTGAAAGGCGTGCTGTAGCTGAGGTATGGAGCGATGGAACAGCACAGAGGGCAGGACATTGGCCTTGCACACACCTGCCCGGATGTGGTCCCTGAGCACAGGGCCTGGACTCAGCCCTGAGCACCACCACCAATAAATGAATAACTGATCAGAGTTATTCACCGCAGAGCCAGTGGCGGTGTCCCCGCTCCCTTGTTCCAACGACACTGGTGTCCCTGTGTCCGGGTGTGGACGGTTGTGAATGCAAGTTAAAAAAAAAAAAGTCTTTTTTCTTCTTTGGGTCTTTGGCTCACACCTGGCGATGCTCAGGGGTGACTCCTGGCTCTGCATTCAGGAATCATTCCTGCGATGCTTGGGGGACCCTATGGGATACCGGGGAACCCAGGTTTGCTGAGTGCAAGGCAAACGCCCTCTCCGCTGTACTACTGCCCCAGCCCCCCAAACAGTCTTTAAACCGTGTGTCTCCTCCAGCTCCAATTCCCTCCCCGTGTTACTCTTTGGCCACCTCCGAACGCCGACCGTGACCCTCCAGGACCCTCCGAGGGCCACCCTGCACCTACAGGCGGGTGCCCTCACTGCTCTCCTCTCCCGCCTCCACCACTCGGACACCGGCCTGTGGTCCCCGGGAAGCCACTGGCTCCGGGCCAGCCCCCAGTCTGTCTGGTCAGAGCCGCCCGCCTCAGAGGTTCCCAAGGGGACTTTTCCCGGCCGCTTCCCATGGGTTCTGAAAGCGTTATTGAGTGCTTCTGCTGGGGGAGAACAGTTGTCTACAGCCAAGCGCCTCTGCTTTGGGGACCTGTGCAGAGGAAAGGGCTTGGGGTAGACTGAGGATGCCACGTGCAGGGACCTGGTGACCCCCACCAGAAACTCATCTCACGGGGGTGCCCCCTCACCCCCACCTTCCAGTAGCTGCTCAGAGAAACACAAGAGCAGGTGCTGAGTCTGAAGATCAAGCAACCAAGTCAGCAAAACATACTTTTGAGAATGTTCCGGAGACGGGTCCCTACCCATGGCCTACGCAGGGTCCATCCCCGACACCCCAGATGGTCCCCTGAGCCCTACCAGATCCCTGAGTTCAGCACCAGGAGGAAGCCCTGTGCACTGCCAGGTGTGGCCCAAACACCAAACCACACACATCTGGACAGACGGCTCAGGGCTTGCGCACAGCCGGGCACGGAATGGCCCAGAGCGGCTTGGGGTGAGCCCCGTGACGCCCCAAACACAAACATCACAAACCAGAGAAATGGAACCGATTTCCAACTTCGTTCATTGGTTTGTTTTTTGAGTCACAGTCATAGTGCTCAGGGCTTACTCTTGGCTTGGTGCTCAGGGATCACTCCGGGATGTGCTTGGGGGACTGTACATGGGACCAAGACTTAAACCCCGGGTCAGAGGCGTCCAAAGCACACGGCCTCCACACGGCATGACCCCTCCACCCTGTTTTGGCTAAACTGGTAAAACTGGCAGCATCCCCGCACGCATCCATCACGCTGGAAACTGCAGGACCAGGCGTCCCGGCTGCTCGTGCTTCCACCCAAACCGCGAGTCTGGAAAAGCTGATGAACCAGACAGGCGAATGGACACCCACCCGCGACCGCTGCCCTCGGCACTCACCAGCACCCGGTCCCCGAGCTTCAGCTCCTGCTCCCCGTTCTTGAGGGAGCCAGCCTCCGAGAGGTTGGAGATGGACTCGCTGGCCATCCTGGTCAGGTTGCTGATGTGAGGGGCGGCCGGTGCCTCCTTTGTGGAGGGCTGGGGCGCCTTCGGGGCGGCGGCAGGGGCCCGGGAGGCCGACAGGGGCGGTGTGACCCGGGCAGCAGGCGCTGGCTGCAGGCCGTTGGTCTCATCGTCGGCCTGCAAGCTCCTGCTCAGCTTGGACGGCCGGGTGAAGATGCCCTTCAGCGGCTCGCACTGGAAGTAGCGCACACCCGCCACCGAGCCGTCGTTCTTGCCGATGAGCTCGTCCAAGACGATCCCGGCCCACTGACCAGGGGCAAACTGGGTCTCCCCGAGGAACTGGATGAATCCAGGCTTGTTCCCCTTCACCCAGACTCGTTCCCCGACCTGGAAGTCGTCCAAAAACTCCTCCTGCGTCTCCGAGGAGGGGGCGCTGGGTATTTTCTCTCCAGGCACAGACTCCTCAACGGGAGCAGCCGCTGGAACAGCAGAAAGGGTCAGAAGGGTCAGAAGGGTCAGGAAGAGTCTGTCCAGGTCCAGTTAAAGTGTGGTTGGGGGGGGGCACACCCAGCAGTGCTTGGGGCTACTCCCAGTCAATGCCGGGGCTGCTTGTGGCGAAGCCTGGCTGGGCCCGCTGTGAGGGGGACGTGCCTACCTACTGCAGCATCCCAGGCCGCAGTCATATCTGGGCAGCTGAGGGGAAATCTTTGGACACACCCCGTGATGCTACGGAGCAAGCCAGGCGAAAGCTCCACCCCAGTGTCTTATTTCTGCTGTGTCCACTGGCCCATCTTCTTTTACTTTCAGGGGGGAGCACGCCAGCCAGTCCTCAGGGCCTATTTCTGGCCCTGCGCTCAGGGTCACTCATGTGAGGTTGAGGCTGGAGAGTCCCATGGGGTGCCGGTTGCCCTCCCCACTGTCCTGTGGCTACGGCCGGCAATGAGGCCCTTTAGTCCAGGTGAGTCCACCTCCCTCAGCCTGTCCCCAAGCCCGGGCGAGGGGGCTAGCAGTTAGGAGGGAGCGTGTTGGTCGCCTCAGCTGACACCAGTTGCCGTGACACTAAAGTCACAGAACATGACACTCGTGTGTGAGAGCTGTCCGCAGAGCCATGAACGTGCCTACAGCTCAGGGAACCCTTCCCAGGCGAGGACTCGGGAGGGGGTTCCCTGGTGGGAATGAGTCTCCCCTGGCCCGGGCTGAGCGCACTTACCGGCCGAGGGCGCCTTCAGGGCCCAGCTCCCATGCTTGAGGATCTTGGTGGGGGTCTTCAGCCCGCTGGGCCTCAGCAGACTCATGGTCAGGTGGTCAGACGCTGCCGCGGCCACTACCGGGCCCTGACTGTCGAGCCCACTGTGGGGCCTTCTGAGGCGCACTCGTTCTCAGGGATAAATCTCTGAAGAGCAGAGGAGAGAGTCTGTCTCAGGGGAGCGACCACAGCAGCTTCCGGAGCCCAGAGAGCTGCCAGTCTGACACTCGCCACCCCGAGTGCGACCCCCAGCCTCCCGCACAGCCCCCTTAGCCCACCAAGTGTCACTCCTGTGCAAAAACTCAATCACAAACAGACAAACAAACAACTGCAGATTCGGGGCCAGAGGGCAGAGGGGCCAGGTACTTGCCCTGCGGGCAGCTGACCCTCACGCCCTCCCTGGCATCACACCCACCCCCAAACACATTCAGGAGCCAGAAATCGTCCCTGAGCACTGCGAGTGTCACTGACCACCTCCCCGTCCAGACACTGACTAGCCGGGAGGCAACTCAGCAGTGATCGCTGGTCTTGTGTGTGCGTGTGTGCGTATGTGTGTGTGTGTGAGAGGCCCGGGGTTACACACAGAAGCTAAGGCAAGCAACATGCACACTTTTTTCTATGGGCTGAGAACTGCCAGGGAAAAGGGCCCAGCAAGACTGCGCCAAAGGGGGGCTGGAGGGCGATAGCACAGTGGTAGGGCGTTTGCCTTGCACGCGGCCGACCCAGGTTCGATTCTCAGCATCCCATATGGTCCCCTGAGCTCTGCCAGGACTGATTCCTGAGTGCAGACCCAGGAGTAAACCCTGTGCATCACCAGGTGTGACCCAGAAAGAAAAATAATTGCGCCAAAGGGGAGCGAAGGAGGTTTTGGCGTTTCCTTCGTTCCTTGTGACGCTGCCCAAGTTTGATAACCACAAGCCAGTATTAACTCCATTTCTTAACCCACAGAACTGAGGCAGACAGGTGGATTGGGGAAGCGTCGCCACGGCAATGGAACTCCGAGGAAGTCAACAAAAGCTTCATGGCCACCAAAAGACCACCTGAGGGCACGGGACCCAAGGTCTGGTCAAAATTAGTCCACATTAGGAGGCCCAGAGCAGGCTGGACCCCCGAGGGAATAGGAACAAAGGCCAGGAAAGGAATTTCTAAGAGAACCTTGGACCACTCAACTCTACCCCCTTGGCAACCACCCTAGCAACGGACTCTAGGTAGCTAGAAACTCCCACCAGGGGCAGCCTGGGGAAAACCCGAGATTAGCCCCCTTGAACCAAGGGAGGGCGCTCATGTGTGCCCGAGCCCAGGGACTGCTCTTGCCTACGAGGTCGGTCATGTCACGGGCTTCTCCCCTCCTGAGGTGTGGACTTTCGGACCGAACGCAACCAGGCAACCTAACGTGTTCAGTGGCTTTCTGCACCTCTGGAGAAGCCGCACTCTCTCTCGAGCGTGTTACTCCCTCCCTCATTTCCCCTTCCTAAAAGCCTCCAAATAAAATGTTCCTGCTTCATGCTCATCTCCTGAAATGATTTTCTGCGAGAAGGACAAAGGCCCGGGGGCCTGAGGAGGTCGAGGATCGACTCCCTTTCCCTGAAAAGGGCAACCCCTCACTCCGGCCCGAGATCCCGGGAAGGCCTAGTGGGCTTCGTGGGGCTGTCAGGGCTCGTTGCGCTCACCAGTGCCAGCGCTCCCGCCAGTCCCGGGGGAGTGACATCTTCTCCTCTGCTTCTCATCAGCCCCCCATGAGGGCCCACTGACTTCAGAGTCATTCCACATTGAATAGAAAAGTCCGCAAGGGGCAGAGAGGCAGGACAGTGGGGAGGGCACTTGCCTTCTATCCAGTTGTCCTGGGCTCGATCTCCGTCAGCACAGGGACGTTAGCTGGCCAGGGTGACCCCTGGGCACAGCCAGGTATGGCCACCCCACCCCACCCCACCCCCACCCAGCCCCCCAAAAAATATATATATATATAACTACTAAAAAAACTTAAACGAACAACAGATTAAAAACTATCATACACTAAAGAACTGTTAAGAGAAAAAAGCCGCCTGCACGCGGGGAAAAAGCCCAGAGACTCAGATTCACCTGTGTCACACTGCACTCGCAGCTTAAAGAACTGAGCTCTGCCAAACAGGCTCGTGCCAGTCTCCTACAGAGACTGAAAATGGCACTTGGAGTCTAGAATGTTCCAAGGTAGAATGAGAATTCAGCAAGGAGGAGGGCATCATGGGCCCTTCTTAAAGGTGCAGGCGTCACCCTTCGTGACGCCAGGGTCTGGCTGAGGCTCCGGAGGACTGCCCTGCAGACGCCAGCACTAGGTGGCCAATGTGCCTCTGGTCCCTGCGGGGCCCAGTTCTGGACTCCTGGGCCCTGAGAAAGTGGTTTCAGAAAACGTTTGACAAATGTTTATCAGTTACAGATCTCCAACTGAGGTCATTCGGCGTCCCCTGAGTGGGACCTGGACTCAGTGACCGTGCCCAGGGCCCTCCTCAGGAGCCGGGCCATAAAATCTGTGGGCGGGGGGGGGGGGGGTCGGAGGGGCAGAGCGACAGGGCAGAGGCCCTGAGCCCGACCCTGAGAGCCCTGCTCTCTGTGACCCCAGTGCTGTGAGCAACACCTGCCGCACCGTGGCCAGGGAGTGGCCCAGCCCACTAAGGCCTGAGAGCTGTACAGAGGAGTATGGCCTGGCCTGCTCCGGATGGGAGCACAAGCTGAATGAGTGCGGGTCCCCTCGAGGATGAGTGAGCAGGAACGGGGGAGTGGTGGGGAGGTGGGGAGGGCGGAGTGACCTAACCTGGGGGCTCAGGACGGGACACCTGGACGGGACACCTGGCGGTGCTCAGTGCCGACTCTGATCCAGTCATCGGGGATCATCCTGGCAGGACCTGGTGGGGGTGACGTACAGGGTGGGGTGGGGTCAGTCGCAGGCAAGGCAGGCTTCTTGGCCCTGGGCTACCCTTCCGGGCAAGGATACCTATTTTCTTTCTTTCCTTTTGTTTCTTGGGACACCCGGCAGTGCTCAGGGTTACTCCTGGGTCTGCACTCGGGAATCACTCCTGGCGGTGCACAGGGGACCTATGGGGTGAGCCATGCACCAGGCAAGCGCCAAGTCTTGATGCCAAGGTGCCCACGAAACACACTGTACAACAAGGGACTCTACAGAGAACGTCAGGGACAGCAAAGGCTACGAGGAAGTCAATCAATTCTGAAAAAACACAAAAAGATGCGAAAGGAGGGGCTGAAGTGAGAGCACAGTGGGGAGGGGTTTGCCTTGCTCACGGCTGACCAAGGTTCGATCACCAGTCCTGAGCACTGCCAGGAGTAATTCCTGAGCATCACTGAGTGTGACCCAAAAAGCCAAAAAAAAGAAAAAAACAGCGCGAAAGAAAATGTGTTTGAGCTTCACGCCCTACTGAGGTCGCCAGTTGCCCCCCACGAGCGGCTCTCCGGCACGGCCATGGCCCCAGAAGCACAGAACCCAATCTCTTAGTTATCTAACTTTTAATAGAAATATTTCCAGGGTTAATAAGTAAAAGAGCAGAAATCCAAACCCAGCTGTAGAAAGCAAATCATTTCACAACGCTTTTTCAGCATGTCTGATTTGGGGGCGGTCGTAAGCTCTAAACAATAATGGTGCATCTTTTATCGAAACAATGAATCTAGTCAAAGTAGACAGAGTGTTAACTAGAACTCATCTGCCTCACAGGAATTGGGAGGGGTGGGAGGTGGGGTTCTATTGGGGTTCGCGGTTAAAAATAAGTATTGGTAAAGGGAAATGTGTTTGATATTTACACGACTGAGACCTAAACCTGAAAGCTCTGTAACTTTTCCCACAGTGATTCAATAAATAAATAAATAAATAAATTATAAAAAAAAAGAAAAAAAAGAAAATGTGTTTGAGCCTCACTGTCTCCCTGAGACTTGAGCACTCAGTGCCGTGTGTGAGCCCAGTAGAGCCAGTAGAGTCTCCGGCCTGAACAAGTCCCGACCCTCTCACCCCCATGCTCCTGTGTTTGGACCGTGACCCTAAATCCTGTGATGGGATCGCGTGTGTCCATGACAAAGACGCTAGCAGGCTCACACCCCAGAACATCCCTGCTTCACACAGGCGTGGCACACGGGTCCTGGCCTGCTAGCGGCCGGCAGTGATTCGGCAGGAAGCAGAGGTGTGAGCCTGAATGTGGGTCAAGTCCGTTCCTTCAGCTTGGAGGGGAGGAATGTCCGAGAGGGGGTTTTGAGCACTGCCTCACAAGCATGAGGTCCTGAGTCCAAGCCCCCGGGGTCGCACGTGCACCTGGCACAAAGCCGGCACAAATCCGGCAGCTCTGCTGTCCCAGCTCCACGCAGGAAGGGGGGTGACCCCAGGGGGAGGGCCACTGAGAGAGGAGGGGAACACCACAGAAAGGAGGAGGGAACACAGGGCAGGAGTTGAGGGCTGCAGGCCCGGGAGCACTGGGCAGAGAGTAGCCCTGGGGAGCAGGAGAACAGGCGGGTGCCCTTGTCACTGGCCACTCGAGGCAGTCGCACAAGCCGTGTGCAGACCCACGAGGCTGACAGAGCGCCAGGGACGGGGCAACCCCAGCAAGGATTTTTCTTTAAGTTTTGGGCCATGGGGCCAGAACTCTAGTACAGCAGGGAGGGCGTTTGCCTTGCACACAACTGACCCGGGTTCAATCCCGGCATCCCATAGGGACCCCAGAGCACCTCCAGGAGTAAGTCCTGAGTGCAGAGCCAGGAGTGACCCCGGAGCATGTCCAGGTGTGACCCAAAAACAAAACAACAGCAGAGCAAGCGGAAGGGCCCGGAAGCTCTGAGCCACGGAAACGCCAAGGTTGGTTGGTGCCCACTCGCCCCCGACCCCCACCAGGCCAGGCCGGCCTGGGATCAAGGTGCCCGAGCGTCCCCAGACAGGATCTGTCTCAGCGGCTCGGTGCGTTATCTCAGCCTATCACCCAACTCGACTGGGATTGACTCTGGTTATCTCCTTCACTGGTTATCTTGGGCATCTCTGGGGCCAGCCGCCAAGCTCCGTCCTCCCACCTGGCCAGGGCGGGA